GCAGTTTCTCGGCGACCATTCAGTACCATGGCTGATCTCTTCTTGCAAATTAGTGGCTGAGCGCCGTACGCCGTGACTGGCACTCCCGAGATCGCCCAAGGTCAGGGTAGGGTAGACGACCAGCGGCAGCCACGGCCTGCCGGTCACAGTGTCACACCTGCCCACGCACGCGCCTGACATTTGCAAAGGTCGCAAGTCCCTAGGGAAAGCGGGAAGGGCCACCCCATGGTGCTAATCCCTCCCCAGGACCGACGCGGGAGGGCTGACCAAGGGTGTCCGGGGCCACCGCAGACGCCAAATCCTTCCGCGATCACCCGACCGGGACAGTTATCCCCTCCCCTCATCACGCATATCCCCACCGTACCCGTCAGCGCACATAGACCATCGCATTTCGCTGGGGGAAGCCCGCCGGTGGCGGAGCGGCGGGCGCCCGTCCTGGCGTCGGCAGCCGCCGCGGCCAGTCCCCCTCCCGAACGGCGAGCCGAGTAAACACCGGCCGGCCGGCCGCGGCTATCTTTGGAGCCGCCCGTCGAGGGCGCCACGGTCATGAGGGCGCCTGCCAGCCATCTGTTGGCGGAGCCCTGAACTAGGCCGCCCACCGCGGCGCCGGCCGGCCGGCGGCTCCCCCCCCCTCCCCCCGGGCGGCCCCCACCGCGCCGGCCTGCCGGCGGGTCCGAGGACGCCGCCCGGCACGGCCGCCAAAACACAAACACGTCTCATTTCTGTCTTTATTAGAAAACGGTACTGTAATAACGGCAGGCGCTCTCGCACACGTCCATAGGCGTGCAGACAACCCACCTTGAGATCCGGGAGCTCCCGGTCGGCCGTCGACGTCCGTTGAGAACACAGTACCAGCACACCAGCAGTCATCCCTCCCTCCGTAAAACCGAAATAAAACAGTGGTCGTTGTGATTCTGAAGTGTATGTAAAATGATGAGTTCACTACTTGGAGCAACAAGTTGCAATATTCAGCGACCGATGTGGGCAGCGAAGATTCGCAGTGTTGTTTTATTGACCGAGTCGGGGGAAAGGAATTTCGTTCCTTAGCATTATGCCAGTGGGTGGCGACACCCATACACCAACACGACCCACCCCCGGGCGCGCGGAGGAGTGCGGTGATGTCTAATTGCCCGCCCACCCACCTGCATGCATGTTACCCTCCCTCCCGGGCCCGGGCGCACTCCCCCGCGGCACCGGGCGCTCTGCTCTAACACAACACGCCTTTCTACTTGTACACATCGAGAAGGAATAGTTACATGACACAGATGAGGACTCGACAGACGAGGGGTGAGACGCTTTGTGATCTCGTCTGTGGCTGGCTGATGGATAAAATTGATGTCTGCCGGTGTCGGCGGCTCGGTGCCGGCCGGGCCGGGAGGCCGCGCCGCCGCCGGAACATGCGCCCGGCCATCGACATGCCCCGACAGCGGCCACCTGTCAGCGGCACCCCGCCATTTTAGTCCAGATGTAATGAAGCTACACAAATTATGCATCGTCCTCCTCCTCCTCACCGCCCTCTTCTTCCTCGCCGTCCTCCTCCTCACCCTCTTCGCCTTCTACGTCCTCTGCGGAACACAGACAGCAGTTAGAACGAATGATTCAAAACGCATGGAAATGAAAAGCACAACAATATGCACCGCAAATAGAAATTCATTGTTTAGACCGAACACAAAATGTGTTACTGACCTTCATCCTCCTCGCCCTCAATATCGTCTTCCTCTCCTCGATGTCGTCCTCCTCGCCATCGATGTTCTCCTCCTCCTCGCCGATGTCCTCCTCTTCCTCGCCGTTGACGGTCTTCAACTTCTTGGCCTCAATGTCATCCTGCAAGGTCAATATTGCACAGATTAAGAACTGCACGCTTGAAAATTGTCGTGGGTAATACACGCAAAAGCACGGTACAACAAAACAAAAAAATGTAGAATATAAAGCCTTATTTTCCGGTACGACTAGGATTTGTTAGAAACAGAAATAATCAACATGCATAAAACGAGTTGTATCAACGAGGGGTGTTTATCCGTGGGAAGTGCTACCTTACGAGGAATTGCATGGTTCTTTGCTGTTTCAAAAGTAAGAGCTCCAATAATCGTTAGGTAATTGCAACCAGAGAACAAGAGCCTATCGGCTACGACATGTAGGTAAAAGCTGGGTAAAAGGTCTCCCCGCCGTACCGGTCGTCACCGGCCTGACATCTAGCGGCCAATACGCAAACTAATAGCAATGGCGCGAGATAGGCTATGTTCCCAGGATGATCCTGTGTGACACACAACACCGCATATATCAAACCGGCAGATGTATAAGAAAACAAGCCAAAAACCAAGCAACTGGCGAACAGTTTGAGCGGCATATCCTCCCGGTAGAGGCTAAACCCCTCCCCCCGGCCCCAGCCCCCACCCCTGCCGTACCGGTCGCGGTATTTATTCAGCGGAAGCAAATTGAAATGCAGTGATGGCCAGCATCCATCAGGATCAAACATGGAAATTTTATTGTAAATATAAATATCAAAAGCCTTACAAAATATTCTGGGAGCACGAATACAGGCACCGCTTGCACGTGACGGACGCCGGCTTCCCACCAGAACCTTCGAACACAAATAATATCAAAAGTACAACTTACCTCAGCAGCCCGTTTCGTTCCCTTCACGTCTTCGGCATCAGCCTTGCCATTTCCGAGGTCCTTCTTGGTCTCCGTCTCGCTCATTTTGAGAAATTTGTGGTTTTTACGCGAGCGCGTACAACCGACCGGCACCCACGACCTTTCCACAACTCCGAATGAGGGCGCTGCAATCGGTATCTGATAATTTGTCTGTAGTACTTCATTGTGCTGAAAAATTTCAAATGCTATGAACTGATGACCATAATTTCAAATTTCATTGAGGCAACAGCCTTTTTGTTACGAATAAACCTCTCTTTGATGAAAAAGTTGACGTTTCTTACATGCTTCGTTTTTGGAGTAAAATAGGGTTTGGTTTGGGTTTAGGAGTAGAATAGTTCATAAGACGACGCCAACTTCCGGTCAAATATATTCTATCGATGTACAAAACTTTGTGAAAAGTTGGTATAGAAATTCAATATTTGAAGTCTCAGATCAAAATTTTACATTCAAAACATTTTATAAATTTTAATCTGATATTTTTTGTCCATAACTGCCATTTAACTTCAATATCAATAAAAATATTTTCTGTTTTTATGCTTGTAATTTACTACTTTACTCTAATTATTATTTTGAAAATAATTTTGAACAATTGCATTGAAAATTTTTATCAAAAAATCAGAAATAGGCAAAACTGTTTATATTTATCGATACAATACTTTTTTGTAGCTTATAACGTCGATAGTTTGTAAACTTCCTTTGACAAAAGCAAGCTGCAAAGATGGTAATGTATTTCGTTATTTTTCGTTTACAGTTGTATATATGCCTTATTTTGGAATGAGAGAAGGTTATTTGATTATTTAGGGACATATTTGTGTTATGAGGTTATCGGTGGAGCGAACAAATAACTAAATGTACTTACTTTTATTATAATAAAATATAATAAAAGTAACTTACTTTTATTATAATAAAAGTAAGTACATTTAGTTATTTGTTGGCTCCACCGATAACCTCATAACACAAAGAAGGTTATTTACGAGTTCGATAACTCACTTTGTTTTTATTAAGCATAAAGCTGTTTAAAAAAGGTTGCAGCTTTACTTAAATTCTAATTTGATTAGGTTTTAACTAGGCACGGAAGATTCTATTGTTATTAATTTGTTTAATGCATCATCCATGAACATAATTATTGTACTATAATAGCATGTGCCCACATTGTGTCAGGATTTTCTTTCATGGGTGCACGCAAGGTTTCTTTGATGAAATTTTTCATTGTTTTTTATAAATTGAGCTTGAATGTTTGAATGGACGGATTGACAGAGCTGGAGCCCACGCTTTGCAAAGCTTGTTGCATAGACCCTGAACCCTACCGTTTGATTGTGCAATTCCGGGTAACGGGAGAATTTAGATGCCAAAGTTAAACATGCCCTTCAAAGGCTGTCTGACTCAACTGACTTCAACTGGCTGCGGCTGCTCCCACCAACTACAGACCATCCCCGTCAGGAGTCTCAAATATCGAGCGCTGGAGCGTCTAGAACCAGGGCTGTCACTCCTGGGGGGTCCGATGCTCTACCAATTGATCTACAGGACAGATACCTATGTTTGGTCACATAGGTATGGTGAGAAGCTTCCATCAAAGTAACTACCTCCCTGAGTTCATCATCTAGTAATGTATCTCCATAGGTGTCAGCCTATGTGAGCATTTAATGCATATCATCATCATCATCATCACGTTTATTAAGAAACAAAAGAATACACAAAATCAAGATAAGTAAGAACTGGTGCAAAAGCACTCGAAAGTGCTTAATTCGAGGCACCAGCTCTGTTAAAGAACATACAAGCAAATAAACATACACACATATACAAGAACTTAAAATGGATTCAAACAAACTAAATCGCCGGTCGCCGCCACCAAGCCGAACGCGTCGCGCATTAGAGGTTGTCCAGAGAGCCCCGTTGCCGACGCCACCCCACCGAGACACGCCCATCCCGCCTCGTAATTAAATAGTCAGAGTGTTGGGATTGTAAAGCGCCGTAGAGTATATAGAGTTGCTGTAGCAGGCATTCTCACAATAAGAAGCAGTAATTGATAAAACATTTCCTAAAGCCCAAGCGACATAATGAGTGACAGTCCAGAAATGTGTGTGCTTGTTCTGCAGATCTGTGCTTGCCGGATTTCCTTATCGCAGTTTCTGCAGTTTTCCAGAATTTCCATGAACAATTAAAGATATGCTGATACCATCATGACTACTAGCAAGAGCTTTGCTATTAAACATAATTTTTTGCTATAACAGAACATTTAAAATAAGATAGATGTTGAATAATGATAATGACACTTGTGTTTATATGATACACCGCCAAGTGGGTGTACAGCTCTCATCTCGCGCAAGCTTGCAGATTCTGCAAAAAAGTTTAAATGTTTGAACTTCATATCAGTATGGCCAACCCTGACAATTCTGCCTGTCTAATGTTTCCTGGACTCAACATCCATGATTTCCTTGACTGAATGTGTGTGCCCCACAGTGTAGACCAGTGTAGCCAACCCAGTGTGTTTCCTAACAGCTGAACTTGGCCTGCGTCCTGATTTCTTGCAAAACCTGACAAAAGATTAATCATACAAGTAATTTCCTGGAGGATCATACATAGTGTAGCCTGGGCTAAGCCTGTAAAGTGACGCATCACATTGACGCTTCTAATATTTTTACACAATATATTTCTAAGTTACACTCAACAGTCTGCTGAGTCAGAAAGTTTGGTTATGTTAGATAAGGTTTGGTTATGTTTTGGCATTTCTGCTTAGTGTACTTTTTCAGCATTCTGCTGCTTTGCACTCCCTAATTAATAACTATGCAATTCACAAAATAAAAACATTACAATAGATAATGATTTAGACAGAAGTACTGAGACATCACCTGAAAATTATAATATTTTTACAGTAAAGCAGGATACTAGTCAGTAGTCACTCTGCAAAACCTCACAGTATTCACATGAGAGGAAGGCAGATAATTTGGTGATAATTTTGTAGATAATTTGGTTAAGCCTGTCCCGTAGCTCAGTTGGTAGAGTTTTTGACTCCCGGTAGTGATAGCCCGGGTTCGAGTCGCTCCGGCGCTCGATATTTGAGACTCCTGACGGGGATAGTCCGCGGTTGGTGGGAGCAGCCGCTGCCAGTTGAAGTCCGTTGAGTGGAACAGGCCGTGTCCAGCTTTGAAGGGCACCATAAACATTGGCTTCTAAATTCTCCAGTTGCCTGAAGTTGCGCGATCGGACGGAAGGGCTCGGGGGCTGGGCTTACGCAACAAGCTCAGCGTAGCCTGGGCTCCGGCTCTGTCAATCGGTCCGTTCAGACATTCGAGCTAATTTTGAAAAAATATTTGGTGCCACGTTCTTGGATATGCAGTATGCTGCACCATCTCACTTCTTAACTGTTTATGGTTGCCCTTATCTAACGCAGGCTATCCCCAGTGAAGCTGCTAGATTTGGCCCGGTCAAGCTGGCGTGTGAGAGGAATAGTTTGATGCTTAGTATAAATGTATTGTGCATTTACCCATTTGAACTATCTGGAATATCTTCAGTGACCATATTTGTTGTTTCAGGTGAACGTTCCGAAGTCCAAGCGGACTTTCTGCAGGAGCTGTAAAGCTCACAAGGTCTTCAAAGTAGCCCAGTACAAAAAGTCTAAGGAGAGGCCCGCCTCCCAGGGTCGTCGTCGTTACGACAAGAAGCAGGCCGGATTCGGTGGCCAGACCAAGCCCATCTTCAGGAAGAAGGTATGTGCAGTAGAACTGCATTATGCGTGCCACAGACACTTGGCATTTTATTAGTATAGCCGACAGAAGATTCATGAGGTCTGATTGTGCATTGATTACCTCTTGTTTGTCCTAGCCCGCAACCCCAAATTATTATTATTAAATATGGTTGGTAATACTTCAGTCAGAAGTTACAGCTAAATGTGTCCATCTGCTCGGATCCACTCAACCCGCTCCAACTTTCCAGCGCGTGTGGTTGCCCTTACCAATCATACATGGAAGTCTCATGTGCGGACCGCTGGAGAGATTCTGACCCGCGTCACATCCTATCGCCATTAGCTCCAGAACTGTGGAGTCGAAGTTGAAATCTGAGTTGTCAGTTCTCGGGGGTGTCGGAGTCGCCAAAATATTAGGAACTGAGTCAACATCCGGTCCCGTAGCTGAGTCGATAGAGTGTTGGTCTCCGCGTGGCGATTCCCGGTTACAACAGTCTTGGTTCGAAGCGCGATGGGCGATTGACGTTTATGGGCCTCCTGACAGGTACTCGTATGGTTGCGGTTGATGCCGGTGGCAGGCCATAGCCAGGCGAAGTCAGTGAGGGGACCGGCCTTGCGCGGCTATTTGCGCGTGTTAAACTTTGGACTCCAAATTCTGCAATAGAACTAGAATTGCGCGATCAAGTTATACCCTACACCTATTCGCTTGATAATAGGACTCTTGTTAACCTTCCCAAAACTCTCTCTTTGACCTTTCGCAGACAGTTCTTGTAGAAATTTTTTGCCATACTTTTGACATAAACGGAAAAGTATGTTTGCAGTGTAAGGCTTATAACGTTCCAAGGAATTCTTCCAGGAACGGTAAATAAATCTCCAACATCATGAACCTAACATCATGATGTGGACTCGAAGAAAAATGTTCAAAGCTGCTGCTGGAGTCTGAGCCAGAGTAGAGTTGTTTTTTTTACTCCAATTTCTAAAAATCAACAAAAATCCAACTTCGCAGTCTGATTGTTATGCTCTACCAGCTGAGCCACGAGATTGATAAGAATGCTATCAATTAGCACTATCACATAACCCATAATAGAATGTCGACCACATCCACATTGTCGGACATAGCCCTCCCTGTTTACCGATTTCATCTGACCCGTTTCGCGACTACTGCTATTATGACTGTCGACCAAATAATCAGGAGCAAATGATAACGCGAAACCGCACAAAGCGGGTCCTCAATACCGCGCTGGTCAGTGGTCCACCAAGGTGACGGACATTGGCTGAGCCATTACTTTACGTTGAGCTCATCAATATGATAGTCAATGGTTAGGTCTGAAAACAGTATTGAAAAAAAAAATGTTGGAAGGAAGCTATGAACTTTGGCCTTCGCGAAATGATTCATCCATTGAGTATTCTAACGATAATTAATTCCAACTGTCTGATTTTGCAACGCCTCACCCTGGGAGAATCTGGATGTAATGCTATCGGTGTTTCTCTGGTTCTAACTTCTAAACATCCTCTAGGACCGCTGCATTGTGACTAGAGGTCGCAAAAGGTGAACGTTTTGGGGAATCAGACTTGAACCGGACCTTACTGGACATTTCTGGTACCAGTCAGATCCGCTCGAAGAAGCGCTGAAGAAGTTGGAATCGGAACCAGTCGACCGACCCTTTCCCCAAAAGTCAATGAATATTGAATATACACTATATTTGTAGATATCATTAGTTGCATCATGTAAAACAGCCTCGAATAATTACGAGCTACAGTGTGCAAAGAAACATACATGAACAAATGTTTTCTTCCCATTCACTTCATATTTTGCAACTGTGTAGTGTGCAATAAAGATGTATGGTTTATGGTAGGTACCGGCTGCACCCGTCAGCGTCAGAAAATTTCCAGGAACCGGTCTGGCTGGACCCATATGGGTTCAGACTTCAGACTGGTTCTTGGGATCGGGTCCTCGGGTCCACATTTTGCTACCTCTAGGCTCTAATTGTGACCACACTTTCGATGCGCCCCCTATATAGCACTTCTAAAAACGTCTCTTTGTTTATTGAAGGAATTTATGCATGCTTTTCCAATATCGTGCTTCCTCTGCAACTTTATTTTCTTGCTTTCAGTTAGGAGATTGTAACGCTCCAGCCTGTGCAGCCGGGAAGGCTTTCCGCTCATTTCCCTCAACTCGAGTGCTGGCTTACCGGCCATCAGATTTCCTTCTAGCCCATCAATTAGCTTATCGATAGCGAGCAGTGGACTATGTGTTAAAAACTATTCACGCAATCAATCTTCGAAATTGACATTGACACCCATTCGAGTTGAATACTAAATAATATAGCCCGAAATGTCACATAGAATTTGATATCGAGTCTGATGTATATTTGGGGGGGGGGCGGCGAGGGGGGCATTGCCTCCTTTAGACTTGGTTAGCGCCCTCGGCGGGCCCTTTGGTATTCGATGTCACCGGTTGTGACCTGCGGCCAGGGACGTTATTGGCGGTGGTCGCGATGTAGGCTGGATGGAGCTGCTGAGCGGGAGGGACTGTGTCGGTAGATGTTTAACGCAGCTCCCTTTGTGTGTTTTGCTGTCCACCGTGCGACTTTCAGCTACGATGTTGTTTTCTCTGTCCCAGCTCCACCCCCTCCCTCTCCAATTCCCACCTACACACTCCCTCTGACCGGTCGCGTTATTCTCTCTTCAGGCCAAGACTACCAAGAAGATCGTGCTGCGTATGGAATGCACCGCCTGCAAGCATAAGCGCCAGGTTCCCATCAAGCGGTGCAAGCACTTCGAGCTGGGAGGAGACAAGAGAAGGAAGGGAGTGATGATCCAGTTCTAAGCCGCGAAAGAAATGCCCACATTATCTTGTCAATAAAATCTCGCTCGAAGATCTGCCGAATTTGGAGGGGACATGGGGTGTCTACGGTAAGACTGGTTGGTGGGGGCGTGGAAGGTGCGGCATCAGGGCTCGTCACCGACTAAAGTAACTATACGATTTTATTTACTACTCCTTTAAAATATGGCAGTTGGTCGAAAACAACTTGAGTCACCTGCGCAGAGCTGCCCGTCCTTACGTTTCATGCAAGTTCATAAACGTGGTGCGTAAATTGTAATTTGTTATATGTAGTTTTATCACCAATAAGTTTCTTGTGCACCTTAAGTTTAAATCCAGGGTCTTCGAGTACCTGATAGGTACCTGAGGGTAGCTGAGGGCTTTATGGGTTCGATGTCTGTTTTTTTTTCAGGCTGTTCTTTTGTAAGTCATACTTGAGCAGGGACGTGTGATAGGGCGGATAGCTAGTGGGCTGGGGTCTGAGTTGGCTCATCGAACTGTTTCAGCTTCATGATTCGTGATGAGCCGTCGTGACTAGCAGGTCCAAGGGGAGGGGAGGGAGAGAAGTTCTACGGGACGGGTCACCGGGTTGAGTGGTGAGGTGGGGGGACTCCTCTTACTGTAATTATTCTTGCGGTATTCGTTCACTCTCCCGTTCGTCGCCGCCCAGCCAATTGAATGAATGAGAATGGTCATCAGGCGATATCGTGTTACGACCCTGGTCGAAGTAATAACGGACGATGCGATATAAGTGGATTATTTACATGATCTTGGGCTTAGTAAAGCTGTTATTAGCCGGCTAAAACCGGTTATAGCTAGCCTCATCATGGCAGTCATGCGGTTGCCAGTTTGGGTCGTACGCCATGAAAGTGACTCGTGTCTCAGTTGAATTTTGCTGTTGGGTCCGTGGCAAAAATGTGTGTTCGGTAAAATTGTTGCCATCAAAATTTAAAGCGGGGCAGAGGCAGAGAAATTGAGGGGCGTTGGCGCCTGAGAGATGGCTGAATTCCTCAAAACTGAACGGAACAGGTCCAGCCGTTCACGCTCGTCGCTCGTGATTTTCCACGTTATTACATAAAAGATCGTTCAAGGTTCCAAAGAAACTACTATTGCTAGGATAATCACCGTTCCGTCGTTTCCATCCTCAGGACAGTCAAATCCTTCTCCACTTCTCAACCCCCTGATAACTGATCCGGGATGGAGTGGGCAACTCCCATAGGAGCACACACGCGTAGCCGGGTGCAATGGGTGCTTGGGGTTCTGGGTGGCCTGTCCAACTGGACGGGCTCAGCCCCGGCCTCGTCCTTGGCGACTCTCTTGGGTGCCCGCCCAAACCAATGTCTCCCTAATTTCTGTCATCCTCCCGGCTCTGCAGTAGTTACAATTGACCGAAAGAGCTTAGCCAAACAAAACAGACTAACAGAAAGCTGGGGTAATGCCCGGGAAATGCGAGCAAGAGTACTCGGCTCAGGGTAGATGGCGCGATGAACGGGCGTGTGTTCCGATTGCAGGTGGCGCCACGGGTAAGCGACTGCGCCAGAGGCGGCCCCCGTGCTCCTCGTGTTCGACTAGTCCCTTGACCGCTCCAACATCTGAGGGTGGCGTGGCTCATTCGTGATTCATAAGACAGTAGCCAGTAGCCACAGCGAGGCACAGCGATTCATTAGGGCGCAGCTCGGTTCAAAGTAAAGGTTGTCTGATGCCCGCGATGTCACTGTGGATATTGGTTGGTTAGCCGAGCGTTGCATTGGGCTAGCCCAAACCCCTCAATCCTCAGTACGATCGTACATATGTCATCTAATCCACAGACCACAAGCGATATCGGCATTGGCTTTTTATTGACGAAGAACACCATGCACTTAGCAATACAGCAGCGGTCATAACTACACATCTCAAAGCCTTCGAACTTGTAAATGTATTTCAACGCCTAACAGTACAAAAGCGACCCTTTCCTTCCAAAGCTTGATAACAACCCGAAAAGAAGCCGGGGTAATTCGCATACAGTTGGAATGCCACATCTGTTTCACCTATCACAGTTTCATGTCAACCCAACAGACTCAAGAGCTGAATGGGGAGAGGGGAATATACACAGCCCCTAGGAGTCACGGGATGTAACGGTTTCTAACGGTACACGGGTTTGTCCATAACCTGCGCAAGTTCTACACTAGGTCTCACGCTTTCCCGAGGGAGAACAAAATCAGGGAAGATGACAGAGCAGCTCAGCTGGGTACTCAGGCGTAGTACCTCGGGTACTACGAGTTCGACACAGCGATAGTATTTGACAAAGGGAAATATTGTGATGATATATAGGCGCAACATGCGTAATTATGTACTCAAGGATAATTACATTGCTTGAATATTTCTCGATAATTACGTGATACATGAATACTTCTCGACCGCAGATAATCAGCATGGCTGCTAAGCAGCGCATCAGTCACATAGTGACCAAAACACACACACATGCCACTCCCGCCGCCCGATCACCACATCAGCTGGAGTCGGATTCCCAGCTGGGGGCGTCCGACTCCTCCGAGCGCGAGCCGCGCCTCCGGCCGGCCGTCGCCGGCTCCGTTACCAGCTCGTCGCCCCGCTGCAGGACGCCCGGGTCCACTCCCTCCTGCTGCATCTTCATCCGCACGGCCGGCTCCGGCACGCCCACCTCCAGCATGCGGAAGTAGCGACGGTAAGGCTCGGTGTCACGCAGACGCACCTGAGTTGTCCCCGGCTGGTCGGCGGCCGCAGGTTGGTCGACGTCCGGCTGAGGCTGTACTTTTGGGTCGCCGTTTGGCTGGGATGATGCTGATTGGCCATTTGTGAGCTCTGTGGAAGCCGATTGGCTGCCAGATTGTGCAGGTGGAGAGGTGTTACTGTTATCTGATGGCTTGGTGCTTTGTGATGCCTCGCCATTGGTGGTAGCTGGGCCGGCTGGGCCCTTGGATGGTGTCAGCCCCGGCACAGATGACAGCTGAAGCGGCATCAGTTTGGTTAGGCTAGTGATTAGTGCATGATAGGTACTGGTCTAACATAAAAGGCAATGTGTATTGATCATTTCTGATCCTAGGAAACACAAACACCAATGATAACATATAATCTTGTTAATTTAGGCTATTACTGGCAAGTGCTGAAATGTAACATGTCTGTAGCAAATGCTTCATTGGCATTACAACATACTTATGCTATATGTAAGAATATCAGGAGTGCTGTGTCACCCACCTTTGCTTCCAGTATTGACAACATGGTCTCCAGCTTTTCTAATCTTGTGTCAACTGTAAATAATTTCTCTTCACATTGAGAAGAAAACTTATTCAGAAATGTGACAGTTTGAGCAACAAATTCATTGAAAAAAGCAATGATCCGCCTCTGGCTAAGCGCTCCAACCTGAAACAAAGGTGATTAGTAATGAGAAGTGATGGTCACCTTTAGCACACCCGACTCAAAATTAATTAAAAGACTAAGCCATATGGTCATAAACTTCCTCACTAACTTGGCAACATTTAATGAAAATAAATAAATATGTCATTTCAATAGGTACAGCCCACCGCTAAAGTAATGTGTGGTTTTACCAATCTCAACGGATGGCTTCGACAGGCGATTTTTAAATGCGGACTGATTGGAAAGAAGACGTCAATAGATAAAGTTGTAGCTGCAAGGGTGAAGATACATGTAAGCTACATTTAAAGTCTCGTTGCAGTCTGGCTGATCGTTCGTAGGCTTCAGAAGCAGAACATACCCATGACTGAAACCACACGTCACTTCTGCTGTGGACTGTACCTACAGAATACAGATCAATCAAACCCACCTCTTCGTAGTTAATAGTACTGTCAAGATCAGAAATGCCATCAAGGTCCATGTTGAGCAGTAGAGTTGAAATGATTCTGGTTTTTGTCCTCTTGTAATTGTAATCAACTGACAATCAGGAAAATCACTGAAAGAAGGGAATAGAAGGTTCATAACATAACAACAAACAACAGCAGCGTTTACATAACATTTTTGACAAGGCTCTAGCCTCTAGCCCATTTATTTTGCGATAATTTCGATGCAGTGATCTTTGAGTATTTAGAGGGGATAATTTTGTAAATTGTAAAGCACCATTGGCATCTTTTGCTATATAACGGGCGGAGCTGTCAGCTTACAACAATCCCTATGTAAACGGGGCGGCTAATGCTTACCAAACTAAACGGCCTTCTTCGACCTGATATTGTTCATGGCTCGATGCATTTTCTGCGCTATGATGTATTCTAGAAAACAGAACAAAGCTATTAGTTGAAAAGATGGTTTGTGAGTTCGCTAGCATCTTGCGTATATACTTTGAACAGATATTTCGTAATTGTTGCGCAGGAGTTGATACATGAAATAGCTACCATATCATACGATTTTCCTTCACCCACCATAAATCTCTCTGAGATGCGGAAGGCCGCAAGCTTTTGGCCGCCAGGCGTTATCACTTGGCAGTCCCAAATAATGGACGGGTTTTATTTCTAGGCAGGCAATGTGAAATTTCCCATTGTAAAATGGCATGTATCAAGGCCCTAGCCTAGCCCAGTAGAGTGCCGATTAATAAACATAATAAAACCGGCCTCTGTTGACCCAGCTCCGGTAGCTGTTCCCCTCTTGGACCCAAATCCGAGACACCAAAAAATGCGAGCAAAATATGCAAGCGCTTATGATGATCTTGAACTGATAAGTAGCCTATGGAACATATAAGATCTAAGCTGAGCTTATCACGAATAATAACGATCACCAACTCACCCACTAAATGCGATGTAAGAAGTATTTTTAATGCCCAAGGCCTCATAATCCGGCCGGGCCAGTTTATTGTGATAATTAACGAGCCCCTGCTCATCAACTTTGGTTTCCAGTCATATATGCAACTCAGAAATGTTACATCACGATCGAAACACTTTGCAGTTCCTTTTTACTACCAGCATGACCCGATGTCAGCGGGAGACGACCTAACTACACGCATGCGCCCGTTGGGAGCCACCTATCAAGAAAAGGCGAAAATCAGCTCACAGCGCCATAATATATTGCTAACACTAGACGACACCATAACACGAGACACACACCAACACTGGCACAAGTCAGTCGTCGTCCATGTCGCCGTTTTTGTATTTCCCCCGCCACGCCTTTGGCAACGGGACGACGGAGGGACAGGGCACCTGGCCGGGCACCTCACAAATGCAGTAGCGGCCGCAGCCCACGCCGAAGTTCGATTTGTTTTCAACTATCTGCGCCTCCTTCTCCTCCGCTGCTAACACAGATCTGTGAAAGATATAAAGTTTATCAGAATGGGTAACACTATGCTCGTATTCGCCTCACTCGCAAATGCAAGGCTGATTTACCTTCATTCATACTGAGGTTAATTCTCATCAGCTCAAACATAAAGGCGGACTCAAGCCATAAGTATATCACAGGCTGAAAGCTTCGAAAAGTTTATGACGTCCTCATTTTAACTACCTGTGAAAATGAGAACCGTTTGTGCCTTCCGTTTGAACTTCTCTAGGCTATGAGATGGACAAACGATATACGCTGACAAAAAGAAAAGCATCGCAAGGTTGGGAGAAGACTTTCGATTTGATGATTCGCCGCCAGCAGTGACTTGAAATATGCAATAAATACAATAACGATATATATTACATACGATGAAACACATGAAGCTACTGTAACACATCATCAGCATGCATGACAAAAGTATGCGTTACAATGACATTTTATCGATGCTTACTGGGATTTTCCTAAAATCTTCGTCAGATGAGAGAGGATGTCTTCTTTTGTTTTTCCTTCCGCGTCGACAATTACCTCCTCATCACCATCTGCGAATAAAGATAAACCAGGATTAACATTTTATGCTTCAATATATAAGAGTACATGTCCTGTAAAGTAAACCATAGCACATTTCGAGCAACTGTTTGTCTTTGACGATTGATCAATTGGTGACAGCATCCTCTTCGGTACTTTTCGGCAGCTGCTGTTAAATTCAGGTACCCTTAACACCTAGTCAAAGCAATTCAAACATAACGAAGTTTGTTTTTACGTGTATACCTACGGAGAGCTGGGAGAATCAATCCTGTCCTATCTAAGTCAGATCGGACACACGGATCTACAAGTCCACGACGCGGACTGGCGTCGACGATGCCCCGATGTCTCGTGAGTCGAAAGTACCCTGTTCTCCGATTCCACCGCTCTTCAGCACTCACCGAGGAATAATCTGATGAAGGGAGACGGCATCATGTCCTTCATGGCCACCAGCTGGACGTTGGGGTTCTTGTACTGGATTTGTGGCGTATACCAGTGAAGAAAATCCCTGAAGAAACAGAGCACACGTGTCATGAGTAAAACGGAAAGAGTGGGATGCTACTGCCGGGAGACTAGTGATGCCGACGGCACAGGGCACCGTGCCGTGTTCACATACACCACATACAATGCAATGAAGGCTGGATGAACTAAGTAGCCAGCAGTCACATCACAGGCTGCAGTCTATCTCATCATTTAGCGGCACGAGGCCCCACGTTATAGCTGCTTCCTTGCCGCAAGCGGGCGACATCGACGTGCTCAGCGGTACAGCCTACTTTACGGCGTTCATCGCTAGCGCCATCTGTGGAGGAAATGTAGAAATGATAGTCCCACAACTGCGGTTGGTGGGATCTTCACTCAATATACCCTGCACCACCACACCCGTGTTACCAGTGTGGTGTCGGTTATGCCGTCTGTTGAGCTGGCTGGCTGTAGTCTCAGCTCCGCCCCCACACCAAGGCCCCCCACACCAGTGTGACTGCCGACTGGTGTGGGATGACGTTCGCCGTGCCATCTGTTGGCTCCAATGGAAACCCCAGTTGTGCCCCGCCATCTGTTGGCCGTAATTTAGACTTCGGTTCCGCGCTGTCAGTGCGTCCGCCACCTAGCGGTCGTAATGTGTGTGAGGAAATGTAACTTCGCTCTCTTGCCCCGCGGTCGCCGCCGCAGCCGGCCGACGAAGTGGCCGGCTGCCGCCATTTTATAATAAATCCGCTGTCGCTGTTAACGAACCTCTCTCGCTACACCGGGGCAGTGGCGGATCCAGGGGGGGGGGGCTGCGGGGGCTGGCAGCCCCCACCCAAGGAAAACTGGCGCCACTGCGCAGAAGGCGCAGTGGCGCCAATTTTCAATTCGCAACTCATCGGAGTGCCGCATACTAGGACTAGGATGCAAAAATCAGTCGAATAACGTCGTTTCAGTACGCTCCGCACCGATATTTCCAATCGTGTGGTGGCACTGTACATACTGATCCTGGGCGCCTCTTGTCAGGGCCACTGGGCGCCAATATTTCAGCGCCAATACGATGCGACTATGGCGCCCATCCGGGGCGTGGCGCCCAATTATGACCTGCAGCCCCTCCCCAGTGAAAATCCTGGATCCGCCACTGCACCGGGGATAACTGGCGTGGTGACAGCGTTTCAACCTATGCCTCCCCTTGATGTTTGTTTTGCCAAAAGCGGCGCAGCGACACTTGTCGTACTGCACATTTGAGGCGGTTTATGTTATCAAGATGGCGGCGCTGGCGCGTCCGCGCCGTGGCCTGAGTCACCTGAGTATTGTTTATTCTCGGAATTGACAAGCATCGGATTTGACGTCAACAGAAGCCAGAAGATACGGTTCTGCGCCTGTTGTTTGTTTTTCAAGCTGAATATGTCTGCTGGCTCGCTCTGCCGTGGTTCTGCTGGTGCTGTCGGCCGGAGACATGCCGCGCCACGCCGGTCGCTGCTGCCTTCGACGCCTGTCCTGTCGAGTGTCGGTTTGACCGCCTCAGACTGCCGCCAGCTGCGGGCCGTTGTCGGCGGCCCCGCCGACTCCAACTCTGATTCTACTGACTCCCTAGTCCCTGCTGAAGACTGCCGCGCTCACCGTCCGGTGTGCCCCTGCGTGAGGCTGCCGGCTGGCCGAAGAGCGATTCCAGTCGGGGAAACTGTGGAGCCGCAGCCTGCTGAAGAAGCGGCTGATCCCCAGTATTTCTACCTTCTCTGCCGGCCTGACCCTGCGGCCGCCCGACACTGGACGGCCGCCCGCTCCTGGTCGCTGTGCGACGCTCCCGCCGCGCCGTCGACCGTGGAGATCGGCCCATCAAGACTCGACTGTACGAGCACGTATGTAGCCGCGACTCCGCCCGAGTGTCTTTGTTGTTCATTCGGACTGTGCCTATGCTAATGCGCGCTCAGCGACTCCCCTCTCCCGTTCGTTTGGGGTGATACGAGTACGACCTTACGATGCGATGTTTAGTGATGCGTGTTTTGCCACCCGCGGTGATTTCACTTGTATTTTTTTTTTCCATTCGCTCCTTGCACCTCGTTTTGCAGTCCATCACAATCAGGGCTATGCTGATTTTTATCCAGGGCATTCGTAATTTTCTTTTCGTTTTTTTTTTCGATTGCGGAAGAGAAGAAAAGTGGTCACACCACCACACCCGTGTTACCAGTGTGGTGTCGGTTATGCCGTCTGTTGAGCTGGCTGGCTGTAGTCTCAGCTCCGCCCCCACACCAAGGCCCCCCACACCCAGGGGGATGTCGTCCCGGTTCTCCCCATGTATTATTCGCCAATCAGCTTAACACTACCAGTGACGTCACTGGTGGATCACCAATCGGGGCCGGCCGGCCGGGCCCGTAGGAGGCCAAACGCAGACGTTTTCAGAAAAGCGTAAGCCGTATAGATACAGTCTTGGATGGAGTTTTGCTGTGATTCGGCTCTTCAAGAGTGCGTCAGCGGACCAGGACCAAGATAAAGGTCATAGTGAACCGGCATCTGATAAAATCCGCTCACGGCTTAGCAGCCGACTTCGACCCTTCGCCCTCGTAAAGTACAAAAGCTTGCCGGTCATCAATCCACCTGCATCTCCTCATCTCCTTACTGCCTATGTCGACCAGTTACCGCAGCCGTTTTGGAGCGGCTCACGGCCGATAACACGCCGGGCGTGCGCTAGCCGCCGGCGCTAAGCGCTAACCATTGAGTGCGCATGGCTGACTGCCGCCCCGATGGCGCTGGCCCCCGGCACCGACACCGGCGCGGCGCCGCTGACCCATGGGGGGGGGGGGATTGCTAGAGCCGGAATACTGAATAGGGATAGAAGCCGGTATGGGATTGGGATGGAAACTCAGCGAGACTAAGGGATTGTGTTGTGCCTTCGGTAGGCCCCCAAAAATCACCGGTGTAGTGCCCTCAGGGCCGCCGGTTATGAAGCCTTTGGAGGCACTGGTGTGGGCCCTCAGAGGCATTGGTGCGGGGCCCCGGAGGTGCTGCTGTGGGCCCTCTGAAGTGCTAGTGTGTGGCCCTCAGAGGCGCCGGTGAGGGTCCTCACAGTTGCCATTGTGGGCTCTCAGAGACACTGCAGTGTGGGGTCATCACAGTCGGGTGTGGGACCCTTAAAGCTGCTGGCTCGAACCCTTTATAAGCCGACAGGGGCTCTCAGAGACCGACAAAGGGCCCTTAAGAGGTCTGCGGTGTCTTCAGGAGCCCTGTGGAGTCCTCAGAGACCAGCAAGGTATACTCTCAGACGCCGGTGGGGGCCCTAAGAGTCGTCGGTGCGGGGCCCTCAAAACTCAAGTCACCGGTGAGTGGCCGTCCGATGCGAAGGTCCCGTCGTAGGCCGTCCGAGGCTCCGGCGTTGAGCCCTCAGAGCCGCCGATATATGGCCTTAAGAAGCACTGGTTTGGGCCTTTGGAACTTCGTCGGTTGAACTCAGAGGTGGCAGTGTGGGGCCCTCAGCTGGGCACCGCTTTGGGGCTTTCACAGCCGCCGGTGAGGGCCCTCGCAGGCGCCGTTGTGGGGGCCGTTGTGGTTTAGGGGATCATCACAGGCGTGTGTGGAACCCTTAGAGCTGCTGGTCCCTAATAGGCCGGTAAGGGCCCTCAGAGGCCGGCAAGTAGCCCTCAGAGGTCGCCAATGGGCCCTAGGGCCCCCTCTCAGCTGAGAGGCCGGCAAGGGGCCCTCAAATGCCGACATGGAACAATAAAAAGCCGGTGTGTGGCTCTTTTGGAGAGAAGTGTGGCTATTGTGTGGCTATTCGGAGCACATAAGATGTTCTTTCGAGCCCTGTGGGGCCCTTCTGAGTCGAAAATGCCAGCGTGGACCCTCAGCCGCCAATTGGCGTCGCAGGGCCCCTCGGGCCCGAGAGGCCCCCTGATCCGATGGGGGCACGTGCCCCCTGCCCCCCCCCCCCTCCGGGTGCAGATAGAGAATGTAATCGGCGGTGCGGGACGCAACAATTGCAATCGTTCCTTCTCCCGTCGCGAGGTCGCCCATCCGACCCACATATATCCCAAGATTGTCAACCCTGGGGCTCAGGTCGGCAATGTATCGGCAAGGAAATCAGCTTTAGGTGGGTAAAAAAGTTATTAAGAGTCATTAGTTGTCGTTACGTTCAGTAATAGCAACGATAAAGTGCCAAATGTACCCGACGTACGGCTTGGAGCCGGGCGCCGCGCGGCATCCACCAGTGACGTCACGCTAATGCTTAGCGACCGGTCCATTGGAAATTGCGGGATGATTCTACCTCTCTTAGGCCTTGCCCAATGCCCACACCAGTGTGACTGCCGACTGGTGTGGGATGACGTTCGCCGTGCCATCTGTTGGCTCCAATGGAAACCCCAGTTGTGCCCCGCCATCTGTTGGCCGTAATTTAGACTTCGGTTCCGCGCTGTCAGTGCGTCCGCCACCTAGCGGTCGTAATGTGTGTGAGGAAATGTAACTTCGCTCTCTTGCCCCGCGGTCGCCGCCGCAGCCGGCCGACGAAGTGGCCGGCTGCCGCCATTTTATAATAAATCCGCTGTCGCTGTTAACGAACCTCTCTCGCTACACCGGGGATAACTGGCGCTGGGTGGGATCAGCCGCAGCCAGCTGAAGTTGAGTGGGACAGATCGTGTCCGGCGTTGAGGGGCACGCTAAACTTTGGCATCTAAATTATCCCTTACTTGTACTTGTTGGGTTAGGGCGCATAGCCTCGTTGGGCTCAAGCGTCCGTAGTTGCTACAACAAGCGTCCGCTACCCGGAACTGCGCGACTGGACGATGGGGCTCGGGGTCTACACAACGAGCTCTGCTTAGCCCCGGCTCTGTCGATCCGTCCATTCAAACATTCAAGCTAAATTTAAAAAAGGCCATTTGGGACGGGCCAGGGTCATGAAATTTTAATAGGAGATGTAACATTGCACAATTCAAGGATAACAAGTTTCATCGCGATCCACCGCTTCAAAGCAAATTATTTGCGAAAAAACTGAGGGGATCCATCCAGTCCCCTTTGAACCCTGGCCATGCTGGGGATGGGGAGGGGGACGTTTTTACATCTCTGTCAGTTCTGGTTAATAACTCAGAAACTGTCGTAGATCGATGGCTAAATTTTCAGTACCTGTTGGGACGTACCATTTGTTCAGCATGTGCTAAAATTTCCAGCACAAGTCATGTCAGGTCAGGTCACTTGGAGACTGGAGTGACCCACTTTGAGATAGAGTTTGCAGTTTCACAACAGCCAGAGTTGAGAACAGATCAAATAGAAAATTTCAGGATTTAATTAGCTTACTAAAATCTACACTTTGAAAGTCCCATTTTTATATTGGTAACCTAATGTCAGGTCAGTTTTGTGACCTCTCCATTAGAAGTCAATGGGAGAGAGTAGAACTGTTCTTCTTTTAAATGAAAGCCATGCCCAGCACTCTGAAACATTAGGAAACAAATGAGCATGACACACTGAATCAGAAAATTGCACACATGACCCCTCTTTATGCCCAAGGTAATACCCATTTCAACCCATGAACGGAGAAAGATAGAGACAGAAAAAATGCCTGTAGGCACCCATGTTGACATAGGATAAAACTTACTTCACTCCAGCATGTGACTTTTCACGTGGATTGAAGTGCACCAGCATCACCCGCACTCGCTCCTTGAAAACTAGTGGACCCTTTTCCAGGTACTTCAAGGTATGTCGAATTGGATCCTTTCCTAGGCGGAATGGCATATTTCAATATCACCTGTAACAAGATACCAAAAGTCAGTCAAATGAAGTCTTAAGTTCAATGTACCTTGAGCATATGTTCGTTTCTTTTAGAGTTATAAAAGTTAAAACATGGCATGCATTACACATCTATTCAATGGAATACAACTAATAGGCACTAGATAGTTAGATAAGAATTTAAATGTAGGAGAGACCCGGGAGGTATGGGCCCCGGGAAGTATGGGCCATCGCAGTTTTGAAGAAGTGTTATCAATTATCATATCACGCAATCTCGCAGATTCTGCAAAAAAGTTCGTAGCTCTGAACTTTATATCGGTAAGGAACATCCTGACCGTCCTGACTATCCGGCATTTCCTGTACTGAACGTCCGGGATTTCCTTGACTGAATCTGCGTGACTCCAGTGTAGCCGACCCTGTGTATTTCCTATCAGCTGAACTTCATCTGCGTACCGATTTCCTGCAAAACCCGCAAACTCGCAGATCACGCACGTAATTTCCTGGACGATCACGCATAGTGTAGCTCGGCCTTTACATTATCCCTCCCTTGCCCCAGCAGCCTGAGAATTGAGACTGAGATGGGTCATAGAGACAAGCATTGACATGAGCAGTGGGGGGGGGGGGGGGGATGAAGGATGAGATGTGAATCGTTTGCCTTCTCTTATCCTGTGTGTTCGCACAGTCTACTTCCCAGTGCGGCTTTCAGTCCCTTTTTAAACTGCACCAGGGACTCCTCGTTCACCAGCCAATCTGGGAGGGCATTCCAATCGCGCACGACTCTGTGGGTGAAAAACCTTGACCTTGCATCTACATTTAAGACTCCGACACGTTTTTATCTTTCTACTATGCCCCCGCATTCTGTTGCGGCCTCCAGATCCCAGAGGATCTCCGGGGATATCTGACTGTGGCCGTGAAAAATCTTCCAGCATTTGATAATATCGGCTCGAAGGAGGCGTCCCTTCACAGAGAATAGGTCAAGTTCCTTTAGGCGATCACCATATTCCATATTACGGAGCCCAATCACATTGCGGGTCCAGAGCCTTTGAACAGACTCTAATCTTTTGAGATCCTGTACATAGCCAATGCTCCAGATCGGTGACGCGTACTCGAGAATGAAACACAAGGTGAAAACACAATTCATTGAATTGGGAGGTGGACGTTGGGCAGCAGCGGCGGAACATCTTCAATTAAGGGGGCACTGCCGACTTTTGGTCCCATTCTTATTTCTTTCCATGCAACGCCCATAGGGGCCAATGTTAAAATGCCAAAATCAAAAGGGGGCACGGTGCCCCGGTGCCCTCCCCATTCCGCCGCCTATGCGTTTGGGGGAGATAAATAGAGGGCATGTTTTTTTAGACCGCAACACAACTTGCGTAACTTTTTAAGATTATTTCAAATTCTTGTGGGTTGTAAACAGGGATGCGGAGCCGTGGAAATTTCAGACGGCTCCGGCTCCGGCTCCGGAGAAAAAAATCGACTCCGGCTCCGGCTCCGGCTCCGGGTGAAATGTATTGGCGGCTCGGGCTCCGGCTCCGGCTCCGAGTAAAATGATCCGGCTCCGGCGGCTCCGGCTCCGGCTCCGGCTTCTACTCAGTACATCCCCTATGCGATCAATTAAATACGGGTGGAAGAAAAAAGGCGATGGGATTGGTACACGTTGCTTCTGTATTTGCATAACAAGGCTATTTTGAATACCACATTGTTTTACGCCTTGTACTGTCAAACCGAACTAGGTAAATAATTGTTTCCTCTTAAGAAAAGGAGCCGGAGTCGCCCCCTTTTTTGACGGCTCCGGCTCCGGCTCCGGCTCCGGGCTATATTGTTTCACGGCTCCGGCTCCGGCTCCGGCTCCGGGCAAAATATGCCGGCTCCGGCGGCTCCGGCTCCGGCTCCGCATCCCTGGTTGTAAATTATTTTTCTTAAAGGAAATAGTTCACTTTTAACATGGGGTTTTGAGCTGGAATAGCAGTTTCGTAGCTTGAGCTGAGACTAGCACAAATCAGGAGCTTTTACGGCTCAGCGATCACCCTAGACGAAGATATTCCATTTCTCGTTCCGAAAAGAGTGCCTTGTAGAGGAATGCGTGCCTTGCACAGGAATGCAGCGACGTCATCGTCAGCCAATCAGCGTGCTGCTTACAGCCAATGCAGTATGCGTAGGTTTGAGCTACACAATATGATTGGTCAATGCGTAATAAGCTTCCACGTCAAACATTATTTTACATAGAATATAGTTCCTATATCTATATTCTATGTAAGACTATATAGTTCCTATATAGTCCTATATTAAAATATAGAAAATAATTGTTTTTACAAAAAGGTTTTATTTTATTTCATGATTATTTTGAGCATAAAAAATCATAAATCAATAGCAAAATACTGATTTCAGGAAAGTGGACTGTTTCCTTTAAAGCTGTATGCCTTCTATATTTCTTGTTTGTATTTGTATTGTATTTACATTTAAGAGCGATCCACATACAAAGTGCGTGGCAATTAGTGATTACTGCTGTTTGTGTATAACCACGGTGAAGTGTGAACCACCCACCATGGTATATCAGAGAACTATGTACCTAATAGCAGAGCCTATCTATCAAACAATCATCATTCATCGTTAACCCGGTTTACATAGCATATTTGACGAGGCTCTAGCTCGTTAATTTGGCGATAATTTCGATGCAATGGTCTTCAAATATTTAGAGGGGATCATTTTGTAAATTGTTAAGCACCATTGGCATCTTTTGCAACATCACGGACGGAGATTTAAGCTTGCAACAAACCCTATGTAAACGCGTCTAATGCACCCAACACAAATGTTGTAAATAAATCATGCACCATGCACACATCAGCGAAGCATAGCACCAGTAAAGTCTGATATTGGTCCTCTGACGTCATCAACACTCTTGTTTTCTATTTGCGGTTGGAATCAGAAACAATTTTTATATGAGTGGTGTTGGTCACTGTTTTTATCTTCTATCAATTATAAATGCTTTAAAGCTACATGCTCTAAAGTATCAGTTAAAATTGTCATGCATTTTTGCTTAAAAAACATTTGTCGCTATCTATTCTAATGACATCATTATTTGTAAGAATTTGTAACTTTTGTCTAGATTTCAGTCCTTTTTTGTCGCAGGTGCGCAATGACTGAAGCTGTTGAATAGTGATGAAAAAATCAATTTTTGAAGAGATTCATATTAGCTTATTGACGCTATTTTGCAAATATTTTGTTTTGACTGTCAGAGGAAACGAGCTTACTTTCGATGTATCGGAAAAATATATCAAATTTACGTCCGAATCTTGTAGCAGATGTCAAATTATTAATTAATCACCTCTAAATTGCCAAACATACCGGCGGCATCATGGCAGGCGTGGGTGATGAAAGTGCTCCTCATATTCAAGTTAAATTAACTACTAAGCAAGAGCGATATGCGGTGCCAGATACGCCATTCTCAGTTCCTATCACCATTGGTCATGACGAGCTCAATAGCTTGATCAACAGTCTGAGAAGTGAAACGACAGAAGGATCTGCTGATGCTGAGTTCGACTTTCTTATCCATGGCGAATTTCTTCGCCAGTCGGTCAGTGAGTTCCTGGTGGAAAAGGGTATATCTTCGGAGGCTGAAGTGGAAATTGAGTATGTGGAAAAGGCTTCACCCCCAGAACCAGAAGACAGCCTTATGCATGATGATTGGGTGTCGGCTGTGGAGGCATCTTCGACACTGCTCCTGTCTGGCTGCTATGATTCAACATTGCACCTGTGGACGCCAACCGGCGAGCACAAGCTGACCATACCAGGTCACACAGAGCCTGTGAAAGATGTGTGCTGGATAAGCCATGATGAGGACATCTCTACCTTTGCGAGCAGTAGTATGGACCAGACTGCACTGCTATGGAAGTACAGTCACTCTGGAAACAGCATTCAGTGTGTAACTGTCTTCCAAGGACATTCCAAGAGTGTAGACTGTGTAGCGGGTCAGAATACTGGCAATCTTCTGGCCACAGGGTCATGGGACTCGACCATCCACATCTGGAACACTGCTGCAGCTCCAGATGACTCCAAGGAGCTGCAAGTCAAGAAGAAGAGGAAAACAGTTGGGAAAGCTCCTGTTGCAACCCCAACCATGACACTGTCAGAGCACAAGCAAGGAGTATCATCTCTAGCCTGGCTTTCACCCTCAGAACTGGCATCAGCATCGTGGGACCACACCATCAAGCTCTGGGATGTGGAGCTGGGGGGCATGAAAAGCCAACTTGCAGGCAACAAGGCATTCTTCAGCATATCAGCATCCTCAGTGAATCACACCCTTCTGGCAGCCTCTGCGGACCACTATGTCCGTCTGTATGACCCAAGGTCCAGTGAGGGCAGCATTGTGAAGTGCATGTACTCGTCCCACAAGGGCTGGGTGACTGACGTCTGCTGGAGCTCAGACAGGGAGTACGAGTTTGTGTCATCAGGTCAGGACATGATGGTGAAGCACTGGGACTCCAGGGGCACAAAGGCCCCTCTTTATGACCTGCAGGGTCACAGTGACAAGGCGCTCTGCTGTGACTGGTCGAACCCAGAGAGGATAGTCAGTGGAGGCGCAGACAACGCTGTCAAGGTCTTCTCCATCCGCAAATAAATGAAGTGACTGTGACCGTTGTTGTGTTACGCTTTTATGTCTTGTGGTGTAAATAGAGAGCGGCATCATCCAGAAGCCATCCTTGTGAATTGATGTGTATTTTGGAATCGTTTGAATTAGGAGATGTGCGGTAATATGTTACGTTACCCCCCGCTGATCCTATCGGTTTTAACACCCTGACCAAGGGGGTGGGGCGACACCTCTCGTCGTTTTGCTCCTGATTGTAATGGACCTAGGTAGAACTAGGAATAGCAATGTGAGAGTTGTTACGAAACATGGGGACTAAAGGGAATATTCCATTTTCCAAAGCACGTTTTTATTAGCTAGCTCGGTCGGTTATCCCTCGGTTCAGGCATCTGTCGGGATCGGGCTTTCAGTAAATGACTTGGAGAAAGATGACCACAGAGCGCTGATTTTGTTAGGTAGGTACAATGCTTTTGTCATGTACCGGGGATGTTTTACTAGGCCATAACCATCCGAGATCGATGAAGAGCTGGACCCAGGACCACTGAGAGCTCAGGGTACTGAGGGTGTCTGACCAAGAAGGGAGGGCATTGCACTACGCTGGCGTGTCAGTGCAGTGTTGTTACTTCGAGACATTCCGAGCTCTGGACTCTGGAGGGAGGCAGTCGTGGGCCACGGTTCGCCGGAGTCACCGAACAAGGCTATCGAAACTCCAGCGATAGGCGTCAAGAGGGCGCCGGTCCGCCAGCGCCCACCACGGTGTGCCACAGTGCACCACGGTTTGTATAGAAGACTGTGCACGCACACTACAGAGTCTTCATCTCTTCAATTCAATGCATCTGTAGTTGCCGTTTCGCAAAAGCTGAGAGTGAACGAACCTGCTCCCAGACATACCTAAAGGAAAATGAACTAATAAGCTCGTATAAGTTATAACACACGTAGATATTTTGGCGGGCCATTATTCGGGTCATTTCCCCGCTCGTCCAGCAAGTTTTAGGTCCATGGCAGTCGCCAGCTGGCAGAAATCCCCGCTCACATTTTTGCTAATATTTCGCTTGTTCGCTTCTATCCGATAAAATAGGTACAATAATTTACTCAAGCTTGGCAGTTAGCATCTTTTCTTGACCAAGACAGAAAAACACGTTTGTTTTTGTTGCAGTAAGTTAGTCCTAGAAACGAATAAAAGTGCATATTCCACAATTTGGTGATATCTCATACATTTTAGGGCATGGTTTGCCTCCGTCGGCCTTTTCTCGCGTGGGAGCCGCGAAGTGGGGTGCGGGGTGACGCGCTTCGACTGAAAGTTTTGTGTTTACTTAGTGCATGTAATAATTAATTCTGTAAGACATCAATTGAAGACTAAAGATGGACCAGCAAAACATTATAAATCTGTTGCGAAGCACGTTAGACATCAGCCACCAGAAGGAAGCATCTGCTCAGCTCGATCAGGTATGCCGCACATGCTCCTTGGTGCGCCAATAAATGTCTGGCGCCCTTAGCATGGTTTCAGATGATGAATATTGATGAAATATATTAATAATGGACGTTAAATATATGAAATATATGTCAGGATTTCATTGAAACATGGGAGTCAGCTACACTCCTTCCCATTGTTTGACTGGAATTTGAATGCCAGGTCTGACAAATTTGCTATCAGGCATCAGTCGGTGACACACCAGGGAAATAAGCTAAAATTAGAGCGCTCTATTTATTGCTCCTGCCCCATGTTGAAGAGATACCCCTAAAAACGTGATCTTTTATCGGCCCTTACGCAGCAAGGCAGTAATTCTCAGACCGGTGGATGGTATCAATAGAAAGAGAATGCGTCAAAGATTAACATGAATTAATTAAAATAACATTAAAATGTTAATTAAACGTGGAAATTAGTCCCAAACATAAGCTACTTATTGCTCCTACCTCGGCGACGGCGCTCCCCGCAGTCGGCGGAGAAGCTAAAATAAAAGCCACCATCCTCCTCCGTAAGTCAATTTTAGAGCGGCCGAGTGGGCCGATGCGGGGCCACCAAACTGAGGTGAGACGTGGCTAGTAATTGCAAACCGCCATAGAAATCAATATCTTAAGACGTACAATATGGAATGATTACTCTGAAGCTGGAGTGAAAGCATGAGTAGATTGCAAGAAACGAAATGCATAGATTGGTTGAATTATGTACAACTACAATAGGCACAGCTCAGATGAAGCCATTTCTATGATGTTGACATATGACATAACCCTTCCTCTCCTCACCTATGACCTAAGTGCATTGGCAATTACCGGCATAGTTTTTGAGCACGAGTGTAATTCGCAATCGGACCGCAATACATGTTGCTAGGCTGCTGCAATTACAACGAACATACGAATACTGCCTTCATTTGTAGACGTTTGTTTTTTAGGCGGTCTTTGACGTGCAGGGGGCATACCTGTCGACAACTTCAGTTTCTCCGAATTTCAAAAACTCCCAGAATTTCAATTCCTTATGCACTGTTGTAGGTACAGCTATGTTCACAAGTTTTCGTTTTCTCCTGTTCTAAAAAGGATGATATTTGTCGATTTCGTGCGTCGCTGATAGGAGGGTGCGTTTAATAATTAGGCCCAACGCTTTCTGCATCCGCGAGTACCTTCAAAAGGGAACAACAGTTTCCATTTATTACACTATGGGACATGTGACAAAATGACCACTGGAACACGCATGAAACGGAGCTCATATTCCTAAAAATGTCTACAATCACTTCTTTTCTGACACTATTAGCAAATACCATCTCAAGTTAGGTGGTTGACAGACAGTCAATGGAGATCTGGGGAGACTGAGTGATGCCAATTCACCACTTAACTGATAATGAGGGCCGAGGGAAGAGAAACATGCAACATGCACAACTGACAACTTGACAAGTGACAAAACACTACCACTATTGCGCAGTGCACAACAAATTACAGCAGCCAGCCCAAAAAATGCTTTTGGTGGCTAATTGCAAAACAAGTCACTAATAAATGTCTTAGTTGCAGCTGAACACTGCACAATAATCACACTGTTCACACATTGAGTGAGATGCCACAGGTGGTTTGAATCACACTTTGGTTCAACTGCAAATCTGAAGTGTTGTCATGAGGTTCATACCTCCATGATCACAGCACTTTGGTTGTGGTTGGCATAACACTTGTAGTCTGCAGAGTTCCACATGAACTGCAGACACCTCATCTGGTGGTCTTCATGTTGCTCAACTTCTTCAGGAGGCAAATGTCGACCACCCAGCGGAAGCATGGTCCTGCAGAAAAGAAAGGTAATGCATAAGGTACAAACATTATCTGCTGAAACAGCTCCTTCTGTTGGCTGTTATTAAACTTTTAACATAGGTAACATAACAACATGTATTCCATGTATATTACATTTGTTGAAGTAAAATACTGCCGGCTATTTCAAAACCAGAAAATGAAATTATATTGTGGCATAATTCACCTGCTCAGCTATTGGTATCAAATAATAATTAATTTAATATTTGGCATATTCTTTATAACACATTCATAGAATATTCTACTTCACGTCACAAGGACTCACAATCTTTCTGTTGGGTGTTTGATTGACGCATTAACTAAGTTCGTCTTAGGTTTTATTATTGCAAAAAATTCATACCTATTGCATTATTGTATCAAAATACTGCCAGCAATAACAAAACAAGAACATGAAATGCAATGAGCAGGCCGCCTTTCCTTAAAATGGATTACTTTGAAAGGAATTTTAGTTTCTTTTAAGGAAAAGGAGAAATGATTATCAGGTAATTATCAGAAAACCACTCAACCAGCAAGTGGCTGGGTGGTTTCACAGCAAACATCAAGCCAAAACATATACTTACATCTATCTAACAATTGAGCCATTTGACTACTACAAGGATATTTGAGAAAAATAAGAATTCAATTATCCAATGTTGACTTCCTTGCAAAGTTTATGCCTTATTTTATGAAAATGTGTCACTAGAATATGATAATTATCATCGAATATTATTTAAATTACGATTTATTTCTATCGGAATGCACATGGAGTCCCGCGCCATTTTCGTCGACGATGAATATGATCGTGCTTCATGAAGAGATAAGGGGTTTCAATGGTCTTTCAAAGCAATAATTTGATGTAAAAATTTGTAGGAAATAATATGAAGCTGGTTCAAATGGCCATCAACCATTTAAAACACCGAAAATACTCACAACTCCGTCCCGACGACCACGCAGCACCGCGCACGCCACACTACTGGCACAATGCCAAAACTGCTGTCACAGCGGAAATGTTTTTTTTCTCGATTGCAATTGTGGAATTATTTATTAAACAGAAGATGATTTTTCCGAAAAACCGACTGATTTCATACACAGATGCATGGAAAATAAAAAAATCCCGGTAAGTTTATTTGTATTGTTTTGTCGATTTTGACATGCTCCTAGTTTGCAGCCATATTTCGATATGTTCTACAGGGAGTTCAGAATTATTTCAGGACCAATCTTTTCCTCATTCATTTTCCCGTCGATCATGAAATTTTTAGAGCGGAACAATTGGTTTCCAGGCGGTCCGAGCGGTTTTCGTGAGAAGGGTGCAAAAATCGGCGTCATTTTTAGAGCCTCGACACCAGCTCAACACAGGACCCTATGGGAGACGGTGAAGTAGCGGGAGCAATAAATAGAGCGCTCTAATTTTAGCTTATTTCCCTGGTGTGTCACCGACTGGCATTCTTGCTATGGATCTCTCGTTTCATTGCGTAGCATACTGTGGATTGTCATTGAGGTATTGCTTTGCTAAAATACTCATTTCAGAACCTTAGCAGTACACTTCGCCAAAAATGTGGTAGGTAGAATAAATTGGAATGTCATTTGGTTGGATATATGTCAGGAGCTCACCACCACTCTTCATTGGCATGCTTTTGGAGTGATAAGCATATGGTTCCATTATGCCACTTTCTGGTGCTATTCAGCCACTCATTGGTGAGCAGCACTTATGGCATAGGTAACCCTTATGCCTCATTGGTATTTAGGTATTTGCTGTTTTAACTTTTATTAGGAATTGAGCTGGTCTCTGGTTGGGCTATCAGACTAAAAACTAATGCCTAACATCTCTAGAGGATTCAACCATGGTATCAGGTACCTTTTTTACATTCTACATTCCATCTACAAATAATGCTAAATTTTGTTTGTGCATTTTGATAAAAAAGACAAGCTTATAGCTGGTGGCTATCTTTCCCCAGTGAGCATAAAAACAGTGTCATACTTTTGCATCATAAGTAGGCTTGTCTTAAAATGCATAGATATTTTGGGAACAGCTGTAGACTTAAGCATTGAAGTCGACATGTCACTTGATAGCTTTTATCTCAAGTTCTGTTATTTGTCATCATTTTTTGCTCTTTAATGCTAATCACTATGAAATGTACTATGACTTTAAACAATACAGGCATATTTGTATAAGATATGCCTGTATTATTATGTATGATGCCAGTTCAACAATTGACATAGTAGAAATAGCTGAGCTACCTAATGTCACTAATAATATTTAGTCTAGGCTCAGTAAAGGCACTTGAAAGTGCCATGTTTGAGGACATGCTGCTTTTAATGCTTTCTGCTTGACAGATGTGCTGTTTTTTAGGGGGGGGGGCATGATAATTAGTGAAAGATTGAAGTCTTTTACTGAAAGATATATCTCTGTTGCAATAATGGACATGTTGATTGAATACAAGGATACAAAAACTAATCCAAGAACAGGCATTGACTTCATTGAGGTTATCTGATATCACATCAATGAGAAATTGGTTGTTCTTTGAACTAATATTCCTAGAATGAAAGTTTAGGTAAAATTGTATTCATGTTTATCATATTTGTATAAGATGTGCTGTTGCTGTAAAGACATGTAATTTGTAAAATCATTTTTGGAAAGCTGATGTTTATGTTACCTTAATTAGATATTCAGACTCCATAATTTTGAGAAACAACTAGCAGCAGTATGATACCTTGTAGATATGACTGCCAGCCTTTACTATGCCTGTATTATTAGGTATGTATGATGCCAGTTCAACAAGCTCTTAACAAGTGGTGTTACATGTGATCCAGGAATCTGAACCTGCAGCCATTTTTTACCACATTATGTGTCAAAATTTTGTAGCTTCACAGATTTCTGTAAAGGCTCACCAACTTGTATTTGTTTATCTCTATTTGCAATTTACATAGGAAATATACAGTTTGCAATATATAACAGGAGATCATAGAAATGAAATAATGAGCATATAGGTACTCACCAATATTCATAATGATCAGCACCTCTCTTAGACATAACGATGGTCGTTTTGCTCCCATCTGGTCATGAGGATGTCTCTGGTCATAAGAACACTAAGAAACACTGCTGTCAAGTGTAAGGATCAGACACTTGGGAGAGCTGGCTACAAGGAATCAACCAGGCTGTTGACCAGCTGTGAGCATTTCCATCAAACCAGTCGAAATGACTGCTGATGTACGATCTCTCTCCCCACAGATGTACAAGATCATCGGCTTTGCGCCGACCCTGCTACAGATCGTGATGAACAACCAGGTGGAGATGCCGGTGCGTCAGTCAGGCGCCATCTACCTGAAGAACATGGTGAAGCGCAGCTGGGCTGACCCGGGCCTCCACCTCAAGTACAAGCCGCGCGAGCCGATGCCGTTCCTTATCCACGAGCAGGACTGCGCCGTGCTACGTGACACCATGGTGGACGCCGCCGTGCACGTGCCCGATATTCTGCGGTCAGTGGCGGCGGATGGGACTGTTAAGCGAGCCGTGTGGTGTCGGTCATCGGGACAGATAAGGCATGACTGAATTGGGGTGGCAAGCTGGCCAATATTAAGTTGTCAACAGTTTTTACGGAGCGAGCGAAGCGAGCGGAGTCTTACGTAGAATAACGGAAATTTCTGAGTATGAGCGGCCGGCCGGCCGTGCGGACGCTTTTGCGAGGCTTATATCTCAGCAACCACTTGACCGATTTACACGCGGTAATTTTTGTAGGGTAGCTTCATTCCTTCTACCAAGTATTGGACTATTCCCGATGCATGTGGGTGACCCCTTATGCACGTGCCACGTGCAAAACGAAGAGGTGTCAGTTTTGTAATTGTTGCAATATCTCGGTAACTACTTGGCCGATTGCGCTGAAACTTGGCATGTAGGTAGGCACCCACTAGGCACTGCACATCCATGTGCCAGAGTTGGGGTGCTGCTGCACGTGCGCACGTGCAGGGGTCGTTTCCAGATCTCGAGAACGGCTGGACCGATGGCGCTCAAATTTGGTACGCGGTTAGGGACCAGTTAGTAGGGTGCCGTGCACAAGTCAGTTGGGACCCATTTTGCACGTGCGCACGTGCAGGGTGCCGCTTCCAGATCTCGAGAACAGCTGGGCCGATTGTGCTCAAATTTGGCACATCGCTAGAGACCGGTTAGTAAGGTGCCGTGCACAAGTCAGTTGGAGGTACCCCCTCGAAATTTCGCACGTGCAAGGCCCACCCTCTCGCTCGCTCTGTTAGTCGCCCCAAAAGGCGTTATACTGGTTCAGTAGCGGTCGGATTCACTCGTTTTGTTATGGAGAAAAGTGACTTCGTTTCCTGTTGGCAATCAGCCTTCCCCCCCCCCCGTTCGTTCATACTTTTTTTTTGTTCGAGAGCTCGAGCGTGCTTGTCGGCCCGTCGGCTCGTTCCTCCGTTCATCCTCTCGTTCGCTTGTCCATTCATTCATTGGTTCGTTCCTTCGTTCGTTCGTTCGTCCGTCCGTCCGTCCGTTCTTTTGTCCGTCCGTCCGTTCTTTTGTCCCTTCTTTCGTTCGCTCGTTCGTTCGTTCGTTCGTACGTTCGTACGCTCGTTCATTCGTCATTCGTTGGTGCTTTAGCACATGTCTAGTCTGTTGTTCGATGGTGTCATTTTACCGTTTATTTTTCCCACAGGCAGCAGCTGACCGTGTGTCTCAAGGACATGGTGAGCAGCGACTTTCCGGAGCGCTGGCCGGGCGTCGTCGACAAAATCTCCATCTACCTGCAGAACCCCGACAGAAACATCCTCTCCGGAGCGCTCAGCTGCCTCTACAAGCTAGTCAAATGTTTCGAGTAAGAACTTAACCGGTTGATTACGGAGCGAGCGAAGCGAGCGGAGTCTTACGTAGAATAACGGAAATTTCTGAGTATGAGCGGCCGGCCGGCCGGCCGGCCGTGCGGACGCTTTTGCGAGGCTTATATCTCAGCAACCACTTGACCGATTTACATGCGGTAATTTTTGTAGGGTAGCTTCATTCCTTCTACCAAGTATTGGACTATTCCCGATGCATGTGGGTGACCCCTTAAGCACGTGCCGCGTGCAAAACGAAGAGGTGTCACTTTTGTAATTGTTGCAATATCTCGGTAACTACTTGGCCGATTGCGCTGAAAGTTGGCATGTAGGTAGGCACCCACTAGACACTGCATATCCATGTGCCAGAGTTGGGGTGCTGCTGCACGTGCGCACGTGCAGGGGTCGTTTCCAGATCTCGAGAACGGCTGGACCGATGGCGCTCAAATTTGGTACACGGTTAGGGACCAGTTAGTAGGGTGCCGTGCACAAGTCAGTTGGGACCCATTTTGCACGTGCGCACGTGCAGGGTGCCGCTTCCAGATCTCGAGAACGGCTGGACCGATTGTGCTCAAATTTGGCACATCGCTAGAGACCAGTTAGTAGGGTGCCGTGCACAAGTCAGTTGGAGGTACCCCCTCGAAATTTCGCACGTGCAAGGCTCACCCTCTCGCTCGCTCCGTTACTCGCCCCAAAAGGCGTTATACTGGTGATAGGGGCGACCTGATTTCTGTTTGCTTATTTTACATGATTGACTGACAGTATGGATGTAAGGCAGCCTACAATTGCATAGAGTGGGCGCATTTCTGTTGCATTCTAGCTGATCGGTGTCTTGGCTCGACAGATACCGTGCCGAGGAAAAACGCCAACCAGTGGTGGACGCAATGAACCTGCTGCTGCCCATCATGTACCAGCGCATGTGTGAGCTGATGCCAGACATCGGCGAGTGCTCTGTCCTCCTTCAGAAGCAGATCCTCAAGATCCTGCGCAGCTACCTGCTGCACCAGCTGCCGCTGGAGCACGTGAGTGTCGGCGTGGCAGGTGGGAGGGGAGAGATGTGACCAGAGAGATGTGAGAGATGTCATGAAAGGTGACATGGGAGGGGCAGGGGGATGGCTAGTGCAAGTACGTGCCATTTGGTAACTCCTTTTTGGAGACTGTAAGACGAGCATTTGCAGTGTTCTAGGACAGGCCCTCGATTTGCCAGTATAGTGTATCGACAAGTCCCGTATTCATGCTATGCCGCTGTCTCCCCACTGCTCACCCTACCACCTCTGTCGTTTTCTCAGATCACCCGCGACTCGCGAGGTATTCACCCAGAGGAAGGAGCTGTCACCCTTCTGTCTGTCGTTTTCTCAGATCACCCGCGAGGTGTTTACCCAGTGGATGGAGCTGATTCGTCAGGTGGCCGAGCGGCCGGTACCCGAGCAGGCCAATCAGATCGACGAGGAGGAGCGCTGTAACCTCTGCTGGTGGAAGTGCCGCAAGTGGGCGCTTCACCTGCTCAACCGCACATTCGAGAGGTTAGTCGAGAGAAGAGGGTCGACATAGGGGGAATGCAGGAGTCTAGGCGAAAGTGCGATAGTCTAGCTAAAGGACTGTTAGTGACTCAGCTGTGTGCAATATGAGTTATTTATTTGAATGATAAGTTTATCGGTTCCTTTTTACTACCTCAGTTGTGCAGAAGACTACTTGCAGATGTGTATAGTCATTGATGGCTGACATTTTTGCCGCGTGTTTGTCGTGTTCTTGTCCTACAACCACGAATCACCCTAACTGTCCATTATATGGCGATAAACCACGCCATCTATCTGTCTGCTGTAGGTACGGCAGCCCGGGTAAGGTGCTGAAGCAGTACGAGGATTTCGCCGCGTGGTACCTGAAGGCGTTCACCCCGGGTACTCTGAAGGTGCTGATTGGTATCCTGGACAACTATCGGAGCGGACAGTACGTGGCTCCCCGCGTTCTGCAACAGACCATCAACTATCTCAACAAGTGGTGAGTGACGCTGGAGGTGCGACAAGGGTCGCAAGGGTCGAAGGTCTGGGTGTGAACGGATAAAACGACAACAAGCCAGCTGATGAGCCATATGAAGTTTGCTTTGTAAGTTGTTGAATAGTTCGCTACATAGTTTGATGGTTTGGACGTGTGACCGGGCGCACCAGCAGGCGGGGATATAATATCGCTATGCTACATAGTTGACACATGATTGTGAAGTGTGTGGGCGGTAGCTATCGGTCGCGATTTCCCCGAAGTAATACACTACTGACACATCAGGATATCGCACTATATTCATGGCTGATTCATGGCAACAATCGCTTTAATCTCAAACCTGTGCCACCTTTGAGTCAAACCTGTTCATTGCCCAATCTTGATCTAACTGATCTAACCTTGATCTAACTAGTGACATATGAACTCTGCATCCACCTCTGAACTTTACCCTGCCTGCGTGCATTGCCTTTCTACTCCGGAGTAACGGTTTGACACCCCTGCGCCATCAGAAGTCTTACAGTCAGAAGTACCACTTTCGACTTTCCGAACCCTGTAGGAAGTGCCGCTTTGGTATGATGAACATAACATTGCACATCTTACGGCTCTCGTGCCTTGCCGGTACCGTAGACTGCATTTGTTCCGCCTCTCGCAGTGTGCCGCGCTGACGCACCCTCTTCTCTTTGCCGGCAGTGTGCCGCTGTCATTCTCCTGGAAGCTACTGAAGCCGCACATGCTGGTCGTCATCAAGGACGTCATCTTCCCAGTCATGTGCTTCAGCGACGCGGACGCCTCCATGTGGGAAGATGACCCTTACGAGTTCATCAGGGTCAAATACGGTAGGTGTTGCCGGCACTAATTGACGTGAGGTCGTGGTACTATAATGACTGAATGGCTTCTAGCAGTTTCACTTGTATGAAGTTAACCCTAAGTAGGACGCCAATTCATGCAAAACTCCGTACTTTCTGCGTAATTCCAGTAACTATTTACCGACAGGTGTCTTCCAGACTTCCAACGTGAATTCATTCGCCTAATCACGCACCCTATTCTGACCCCGCGGTGTGCCCGTCCGTCTCGCCCACAGACCCTATGGAGGACTCTGTCTCCCCGGCCATCAGTGCCGCCTCCCTGCTGAACTCTGTGGCCAAGAAGCGCAAGGACATGCTGCGCGACACCATGATGTTCGTCGTGCAGGTGTTGACGTCATCCGAGACGACGCCCCGACAGAAGGACGGCATTCTTCATCTGGTGAGAGGCTGGGAGAGGGAGAGATGCGGGAGAGAGGCTGGGAGTGGCGTGGGAGAGAGGAGGGAGAGTGATGAGGTGGATAGTTTGTTTAATTGGGTCTTAGGTGCCGAATGAGCTATTTGATGCATGGATGAAATGGTAACAGACTGGGAGAGACGGGAAATGTGAACGGTGTTATGTGTTGTGCTTTGGAGGATTGGACAGATACCTGAAGTGGCTTGCAGTGGCATAAGCTAGCCAGGGGTGGGCGCTTCATTTGATGTGAACGAAACTTTTAGAGTATAGCAGTCACGGATTAAGTACCAGCGCCATGGAATTTCGTTTCCACGTCAACTGTCTTGGCTACATACGGTATGTTCCCGCATTGTCGGCTGAATTATTTAATCACTGTGTTAGGCGCCACCTGTTGGACTCAGGTGTATGATTATTAATTATTGTCTGCCTGGTGGCAGCTGTGGCCGAGTTGATGGACGTATGGTAAAGAGGGGGGGGGGGGGAGGGACGCCAATGAGAGTTGGTGCGCCTTTTACTTAGCATGTTCTGGTGCTGCATGGCGTCGTCCACGCTACTTTTCTTTCTGAAACCCAAATGTCATCGACAAAATAGCCCCAACTCGGATTTGTTGTTGGAACTTTAAGGATCTGTTTATTATTAGCCGTATTACATTTTTTACCTAACGTTTCACTCTGTGCAGGTGGGCAGCATCAGCAAGGTGTTGCTGTCGAAGCAGCTGTACAAGAGTCAGATGGAGATGATGGTGACCACGCACGTGTACCCCGAGTTCACCAGTCCACACGGCTTCCTACGCGCCAGGGTGAGTGAGGCCGGACCGTCAGCGATGTCGTTATATCGCTCCATTACACTTCGTTGACCGTCACTGTCTACCCAGTGATGATGACACTTTTACGACCAATACCAAGAGCCGGCTCTTCAACTTCCTTTTGCTACCATTCACTCATGATTCATGCATGCAAAGTGGACTCTGTACCATAATGTTCATTTCTGTTGTGCCACGTGTCAACTAATGCTCAGGTCGAAATGCTGACGGCCTGATTCCCTCAGGCGTGCTGGGCGATGCAGCATTTCAGCAAGATCAAGTTCCAGAACGACGAGAACCTGGTGACGGGGGTGAACGCCCTGACGCACTGTCTGCTGAACGACAAGGAGATGCCGGTACAGGTGGAGGCCGCCATTGGTCTCCAGATGACCCTCCACTTCCAGACCAAGGCCGTCAAAATCCTCGAGCCCAATGTGAGTGAAAGGATGCTTTAATTCTGAGGCTGGATTGTGCTGGGTTATGGATTTATGCGACAACGGGAGGTTGTGAACTGTGAAGTGCTTGATTGTGATTGATGAAAATTGTGAAGGATGCTTTAATTTGGTGGTTTGCCTGAATGTTTTAAAGTCATTATTCGTGAATCGTGTGTGCCGTCCTGTTTATTGGAAGCCTTTTGAAATGTCTGAGCACTTACGATGTGCGTTTTCATGTCTAACCATAACGTTGGTGGGGTTTCGCATTACCAGTAATGCAAGGTGTGACAAAAAAACCCGATGAGACCCGAACGGCCATCTGCCACTGACCTGTCCCCTACCTCGCCACCGTTTCAGATCCGGGCCGTGCTGGTGCGGATGTTGGACGTGATCACCACCACAGACAACCAGGAGCTAACTTCGTCCGTGCAGCGTATCGTCTACACCTACCACGAGCAGCTGATGCCCATAGCCCTGGAGCTGGCCACCCGCGTGCTGGACGCCTTCAAGGGCATCTGCACACAGTGTGGCGGCGATGAGGCCGAGGACAAGATGCCGGCGGCCATGGGACTGCTCAACACGATGGATTCGATCTTGGTGAGTGCATTGGTGGTTGGATGTGAGGACGAGTTGACTGCTGTAGGCCTTGGGTGAACTGCTCGTTACGAGCTCGTATATGTAAAATTGCTTGGGTGAATTGCTCGTATATGTAAAAAGTGAACCAGTGCTTGCATCTGAAGCACGCTGCGTTCAACTAGAGCTGAGCATGCTTCCACGCTCTCAGCACATGCGTGCGGGCCCGTGTCCGTGTATTACCGGTTACTCGCAAGACGCAGACCCGCACATTTCATTTTAGCCCGCGTCTATTTTCATCTACCGCAAGATCGTAAGGCAGGACCAGCGAGATGTGGCGTGCTGTGCAACGCGTGAAACGTGCACTGCATATTTTCATCCCTATTGCAGCAGTACCAGTGGGAAGACTAATCTCATTATGTGTTACGTGACGTGTAATTCCATGTCTCTATTCCAGGACGTGTGGGAGGACGAGCCGGAGATTTGCGCCCAGCTGGAGCCCGTCTTCCTCCAGGCGGTGGTGTTTGTCCTGGAGAACAGCATCATGGACCTCTACGAGGACGTCTTCAAGATCGTCATCAGCCTCACCATGACGCGCATCAGCCCCGACATGTGGAAAATATTCGAAATGCTATACAAGGTGAGTGATTGATGAAGTCTTGGGTCGCAGCTGAGGATCCGGACTTACGTTTAAACATATATTTGGGAAAATTAGAAAGTTAACCCTCGCCCATGTAGGGGGGGGGTTGGTGCAACCCCCCCCCCTGAGGTTTTTCGGAAATAGTGCAAAAACGGCGGCGCGCAGCGCCGCCAAATTTTAGGTACCTTATGGGGCAAACCTTGCGCATCTTTTGATAAAAAAAATTGACCGGGTCATGTCAGGTCACGGAGTTATGACGTCACAAAGGGAACAGCCTCCGGCCGGATTTTCACAAACTGAGTGCCAACGCCCGAGGTTTCCTGCCGGTGGTACGGACATCGGTTGATGGATCGTGATGAAACTTCCCATGCATGTTGGGGCAAGTATTGGCTATCATATGGTATAAGAAACTTGACCGGGTCAGGTCAGGTCACGGAGCTATGACGTCACAAGAGGAACAGCGTCCGGTACTATTTTTGAAAAGCGTCCGAACCACTATTTTGCTAATTCTTGTCACCTCAATGGGAATATGCAGCTATATTAGCTTCTATAGGCAGCAAATGGACCTTCCAAATCCAAAAATACAATCAGATTTCAAAAATTTAAATTTTGATTTTTCGAATTTCTGCCGCCGACTGTGACCTTGCCGACTTCCGGCGCTCCCAACGCGCCATTTTTAGAGCTAGGGAAACGAAATACATACCAAACGATAGAGAATTGATCAAGGAACACGATAGTGAAGGTTTCAAGTCGATATCTCCCACCGTGTTGCCGCAATCGCCGCGGAAAGTTGAAAAAAGTCTATTTTTCCGAAAATTTGACCTTTGACCGGCCAAAAGTAGGTCAAATGTTGACCTAGGACCAAAAAATATACCACCAATCGCGAGATCTCGGCGAGAGCAATCCGTTGGTCTTTTCCGCTAAGCTCTACGACGCTCCGTTTTCAAACGCCAAGGGGGGGGGGGTCGCACCAACCCCCCCCCCTGCATGGGCGAAGGTGGCAGATGGCCGTTTACGGGCGAGGGTTAATATAGGTATCGCGGTGCTTGATTCTGTTCCGGTCTCGGCTTCGATTGTGAGTGTTTGATAAGCTTCAGCTTTTCTCCTTTCGACCGTTGAATAATATTCGTGATCCTCTCGGTGCACACGCTTATAATCTTTCATCATGTCGCTCAAAATGCAGTCGATGTTGGCCCCAGTAGCTTCTCAGTGCCCTACGCGGTCCCTTGACTAACTCACATCCCTCCACCTTTCTCAGGTGTTCGAGGACGGCGGCATCGACTACTTCGACGAGATGATGCCGTCGCTGCACAACTACGTCACAGTCGACACAGAGGGCTTCCTGGCCAACGAGGCGCGCGTCGTGGCCATGTACAACATGTGCAAGGCGGTGCTGACCGGCGATCAGGACGAGTACAAGGAGCTGCACGCCGTCAAGCTACTCGAGTGTATCATCCTGCAGTGTCAGGGCCGCATTCAGAAGTTCATCCCCATGTTCATCCAGCTGGTGGTGGAGCGACTGATGCAGGCGATGCAGTCCGGGGACCTGCGCGTCATGTGTCTGCAGACGCTGATCGCGGTGCTGTACACGGAGCCGGCCCTGCTGCTGGAGACGTTCAGCAAGACGCCGATCCCCAACACTAACCAGACGCTGGTCGATCACTTCATCACACAGTGGATCAGCGACCACGAACACTTCTCAGGGTGAGTGTCTCTCAGGGTTGGTGGCAGGCCGGATCTTCTCAGGGTAGCAGGTGCCATGAGCTGGTGCAGATCATCTGGCTGGATGTGGACGGGTCCGGGCCCAGGGGTATGCTCTATGTTGTGTGTCAGAGTTGTGGGGACTGTGCTCGGGGGAAGAAGCATATGCCTTTCGGATGTACTTCAGCTTTGGGAAAATTTGTTTTGTCTATGATGCTTCACCAAACTGGTGATATGTTTGCCAGTTTTATTCTATGCTGAGCTCTCGCCACCCGTAGAATTTCGGTTTGTATGTGAGGTCTCCTTACCTTCTGTTATTTCATATTCAACTAACATTTTGTACTTCGCCCTTTGACAGCATCCACGACCGCAAGCTGTACGTCCTCGGCTGGTGCGTACTGATGCAGCTGCAGAGCCGGCCGCCCGCCGTCGACACGGCCACCAACCAGATCCTGCCCGCCATGGTTGTCATACTTCACGGGCTGAAGCGAGCTTACGAAGGTAGGGACGCGCTCTGACAGGGCTCGAGAGGGAGGTGTGGCGGATGGTGGGATTGTGAGGCAGCCGTGATGGCAGGTGAGGGATTGAGTGGTGTTGCGTGTGAGTGAGTCGCTGCTTTGTTGTGTGAGCTTGTGAAATGGGTAGATGCATTTTGTTGAAAGTGAGCTGACCAGTTCTGTGACTGATTCTGGTGAAGATGCTGATTACTAGTAGAAGTTGCGCTTTCTCTGTGCTTCAATAGTTTTTTATTGAGAGCTTCCAATACTGGTGGTGTCTTTAGGTCTCATCTCTCTCCTTCCACAGCACATGACGGGTCCTTAGGAGGGTATACCCTGATACTAGCCACCAGTGTCTTTCCTCCCCCCCCCCCCCCCCAGCACGTCGAGCCCAGGAGGAGGGTGGCTGACATGATCACTCCCACGGCACGAGGAGGGTGACTAGAGGGGGGTGGCGACTTTGGCTCAACAGGCGCCCTCTCCTCCCTTACAGCACGAGCGCTGGAGGAGGGCGACGACTCGGACTCTGACGAGGAGGACGAGGTGGCCTCGCTGGACGAGGACGAGGACGAGCTGGACGAGGAGTCCAACCAGTACCTGGAGCTGCTACAGAAGAAGGTGCAGGAGGCGTCACCCAGCTCACCGTTCACCATCTCGTCGCAAATTATCGAGGTGAGACGCGGTGTGGTGCGGTTTCGCGGGAGACGGAATGCTGTAATGAAATCTATCGTCTTGAGGCTTGTAAAGAGGTGATTGTCGGCTATGACGTACAGGATGGAATTTGTATGCTTTCCTTAGCTGAACTTCTTACAGCTGTTCGTTATCTCGTCAGGCTCTGCAGTTGAGGCGTAAAACAAACCGGACGTCAATGGTATCAGACTTGGTCACTTGTGTGTCGCTGTTTTGCTGTATCTTTCGCTGTCATCCAAAAAAGCTGCATTGTCACGGTCACCTCCGTCTAAACCCGCCGCCTTTTCACCATTTTCAGGACGACAGTAGTGAGTACAGTCTCGACTACGACGAACTATTCGAGGACTACACGACACCCTTGGACGCGGCCGACTGTCCGGTGGACGAGTTTGTCGTGTTCCGGGAGACGCTGGAGGGCCTGCAGCGCGCGCAGCCCGAGTGGTACGGCGCGCTGACGGCTCCCCTCTCAGAGGAGGACCGAAAACACCTGCAGGAGGCGTTCACCATGGCCGAACAGCGCAAGGCCGCCCGGCACGCCGAGGCCATCAAGAAACAGGGAGGTCAGTGAAACCGGGAGCTGAGGGGAGAGGGAATGTGATTTTTATCTTGCGATGGCTGGCTTTTCTGTGAAATAGGTCACCGAAACTGGGTTTGCAATTGGTAATCGCTTGTGTTTGCTATGACTGCATTATATTTTGGTTTGTTGTGGTTGGAACTTAGGCTGAACGATTGGTATCTTTAATCATTTTCTGTTATCAGAGATGCAGTAAATATAGCGACGATGATCGTGTGCTGTGGAACATGATCTTTATACTAAACATTGCGCTGACTGCTAATCACACCGCGCCCCTTGCTGATTGCGCGCTAACACGTCCCTTCGTTCCAGGTTACAACTTCGAACAGAAGACGGTGCCGTCCTCCTTCAACTTTGGCGGCGGCAACGTGACGTTCGGCAGTCCGTAGCGGCGGTGGCCGTAGTGAGTGTGCGCGTGCGCAGCTGCACGTCAGAAACTGCCCGGCCCGCCGGCCGCAACCCAAGTCAGGTCCTATTTATCGGCAACAGTAGCTTGACAGAGACGGTCCCGGTGGAGTGAGGTGGCGCGCGCGTCTGGTTGGGACTGACGACGCGCGCGCGTGCATGCAAGAATCCGGCGGCCGAGTCCGCCCCCACTGTGATCGGCGCTGTCCGCCCGCCCGCCTGCCCGCCGCCGGTACAGAGCTGGCGTCGGAACACGGTTTTGTTGCCTTATTGCTGTTGCAAATTTGCAGCGATACAATAATACCCCGACTCTCGGACTCTGCGTTTGGGGAGGGGGCGCCGGCGGGCCGAGGGTGCTGTGGCGAGTGTTGGACAGCGAGTGAGTGAGTGAGACCGGACGGTCGGCAGGGATGGTGACGGTAACGGCGGGCCGGCGGCGCGGCGCCGGGTGTGACGCGGCGGACAGAACAGTTCAGACGGAGCGGACTGTGAGCTCCCGCCGGGCAGTATGTGCGAGGGGCCCTTTCAGCGCAGCCCGCTGTCGGTTCGGCGAGGCCCAGCGACGAGACGCGAGACGAGACGATGGAAGGCGAGCAGTCCAGAGGCCGGACGGCGAGCGCCAGCGCCGAGAAACATCACTGTGACCGGCCACCGAGCAAATACCTGTTACTGAAAATATGTTGTTGATGCGGCGTCAAATTGTCGTCAACTGTGGAGTGTGCCTCCGTTAGGGAAATTCGTGACACCGACGGGGTAAATTTTGAGGCATTCGTTCCCGCAGTCAGCTTGGTACGGATGCGATCGGAGAATCCCGTTCCAGTCGCTGCCGTCAAATCCAGTGGGTGCGCCATTTGTTACCGCCCCAGGCTATGTCGGGACGGTCGCTTCTGCGGTGAACCGTGGAAGCTTGTTGTGGCCGGCGGACAGCAAAATGGCGACCACGGACCTATCTGACGTGTGCGCATTTATCTGTTTTGTATTAATGTATTCTGAAATATTACTTCGGCGTTTGTGACATGGCGTTGGCTGATACGGGATAGCGTGAGGCTACGAAATGCGAGAGATGGATGAACTTCAAATAAAATGCATGAGTAATTTAAAGTAATGGTGTATTTTAATGACCGCTCTCTGACGTTCGATCTTTGCAAATACTGGACTACGGAAGTCTCTTACTTCGCGAGTGTCTCCTCTCCGCAGTGATGATAGCAAACACCCAAGAAAGTTAGGGTCGCGCCTCGCGAAGATCCTAGAGGGTTTTCTTCGCGACCTATACCTAGCGGTGGGCTTACCTCCATACCAACGGCAGATGCGTGAATATAGGCGTTGTATGGACCCATGACACACGGGGCGTACTCGTCTTGGCTTTTGAGCTATGGAACCCCCGGCCCCATTCCATGTATCCAAAAACTTTTAAAACAACGTCCAACGCATCATATATTCACTATTCAGCACCAGTGACAACCTCACCACAAAAGCTGGCCGGGCGGAGGTCCCGCATTGGACCGAGTCCGCGTGCGCAGCCCACGCGCGCGTCGTAACACAGAATATATCATCACCAGCTGTCTGGGACCGCCGTCGGCCGGCCAGCCGCCGCTACAGAAACGAGACGCCCACGCCGAACTGGAGCCCGTGCACGGGCCGGTCGCCCTTCTGCAGGCGCGTCGGCACGCAGTAGTTGAGCTCGAGCCGCGCGATCTCGCCCAGCCGCATGGACACGCCGATCCCGTAGGCCAGCCGCAGGCCCGAGACCAGGATCTGGGCATTCCTGCTGATGTCGTCACCTGTGGGCGCAGAGGGCGCCGGTGAGGGTCTGCAGTGGTAGCATGGGGGAATACACGTAGTGAGAATATACCAGTAATAATAATAATAAAAAATGCGGGAGGTCTTGGAGGAGCACGAAGTTGGACATTGATGAACAGGAAGAGCGAGTGAATACGGAAATGTGTCTGATGGAGGACGGAAACATCGATATAAGAGCATAAACTAAGACCCACTTCATTGTTCGCTTATCGTAGAAGTCGTTTTGAAAGAGAGGCAACTAATTTTCGAGCACCCTGTTGCCTAGAAATAGTTGAGCTTTTACATAATTAGATTCACCTCAACCTAGACATACTTCTGCCTAAGCCTTTGACTGACCATTGTGTGCAATACATTATGTCTTAAAGTCATTCAGCTATCTTATAATGCCTGTGAATGTGAATAAAGTGCAATTAAGAAGACTTAGTAGTAGACTTAGTAGACGACTTAGTACTTAGTAGCGGTGCAAAATGACGCCATAAAATAGGACAATGAAGTGGCATCCTGTCGCATGAAATAAATTGCATTCCGTCGTACGAACTGTCATTCATGGCAGAAACGCTGGTACCGTAAAGTGGGGCTATTTGAGACAGTGGGGCTATTTGAGACAGTATTTAAAATCGCTATCAAATGAAGATCGTTTGATTTTTGTGTGATATTTTTGCTCAGGGAAGTGTGGAATCGAGCAGTAAATCGCCTGAGCAAAAAATTGAGCGTGAATTTCAAGTGGTTTTTATTTTATAGCAATTTTAAATACTGTCTCAAATAGCCCCACTGTCTCAAATAGCCCCACCTTACGGTACTTATTTTACTTCGGCACCTCAGACAAACGTGAAAAGGCGTTCAACAGGGCTATCGTACATAAATACACTGTGATGCAATGGTACGTTCTGCTGACCAAGAATTGGCGTTCAATGTTGCATGATAGAGGATGATTTGCCACAAGCCTCATTATTTCAATATTAGAGACCGTAGCCATTTGACAAACGAACCAACGCGAAGTTTCCTTCATGCCCAGACGTTATCGAACGTTAAAAGTTTCGTCGCACGCTCCTTGGCTATTAAGGTATGATAACTTCGATTCCCAACAATCTTCCCAGTTCCCATCCATGCGAGTGATGTCCCGTTGCCACTCACTGAGTCTGAAGTTGCCGATGTTGCCTGTGTTGACGAAGAAGTGCGTTCGGAAGAGCTCCCCGAAGCCGCCCTTGGAGCGTCGGAACGGCAGCGGGGTGTACAGGTGGAACGCGGCCGCCCAGTACATCTGGAACAGGCCGGACAGGCGGTCAGCGCTAGTTCAATTCCACGGGCAGTATTCAACACAGCTGTCCAGCCAGACCAGCCCAGACAGAGATGCCTAACGGTTTCCATTCGTCTCTCGTGCCTTATTCTCTATATCTCATAGACTGACTGACTAGCCGACTAACTGATTGAATGAATGATGACTGGCTGATTGGCTGATTGCTTGACTCACAACTCAACCAGACTCACTGTTTTTTTTCTCTTTCTCTCATCATGCCCCACACACATACTTCTCCCCTCTCTGCCCAGCCCACGTCAAATCCTCTCACCCACTCACTTCTCCAACACGACTCACAACGGCACCAATGACTTTAATGCCTTGTCCCTACCCTCCCCAATCCTCCAGCCCCGGCTCACATCAGCACCGGTGAAGGACCCGTCCGACTGGGGTCCGATGCCGCGCATCTCGAATCCGCGCACGTTCAGTGGTCCGCCCAAGAAGAAGCGGTCGCTGATGTTGTACGTCTTCTCCGGATACATGGCCTTCATGTGGCCACAAAAGAAGGCGCCTTGAAGTGTCTGTGGGAGCAGCGTGCGGCGTTGGCAGGATGCGACCGAAACAGTGTGTCTTGGTGAGCGTGTCAGGTTTAGTAGCTATAAAAGGGACACATGGGCGATGAACCATGATTGGTGATGTTACATACAAAGACGACGATAAGCTGCCGACTATGAATTATTGTGATGAGGCTATTTAATGTTGGCGAAATGGCAGCATAATGCGCATCGTGCAATAACTAGGACGCCAGGTGGCCTCAATAGATTCACTTACGGTGACGTCTGAAATCGAACAATACAGAGTCACAACTGCTGGGGAACAGGCGCGCTAGAATGACCCATAAAACGGACAGGTATAATTGTTAACGTCATGAGTTTCTATTGCAAATCATAACGCGTTTCAGCAGTGTAATCGCATACTCATTTCCGCTCTTAAGACTCAGACAGTGCCCCGTAAATGCCGCCCGCTGCCCTAAATTTGTTGCCATTTTGACCGCCCCGCGTGTCTTACGATGTCGAGCGGAAGAGGCAGATTGTACTGGAGCTCGGCCTCGTGCTTCAGGAAGCCGATGTTACCTCCCAGGCCCGCCAGCTCCTGGTTCAGCCTAGAGAGCACGGTGCGGAAGGTATGGTTAAGACGGAATGTCATCTTGGACAGCACACTTGCTGACGACACACTAAACCATCATCAATGGCTTGGATACCGAAGTCAGCATCCATCAGTTTTCTTCACAACTCAAGGAGTACCATAACAAATAATCAGGTATCAGGGTGGCAGATTTATCAAGACGGCACTAACAGCTGATGACTGCGAATATTTGGTAAGTTACCACAAAGCAAGCAAGTTACAACTCAAGAGCCCTTATGAAAACCGAAACATCACCATCAACACCTCACATTGACATGACATTCGCAATTTCATTGTGAACCTTGCTAAAACTACCAATACCCCACACTTCACATTCCTTAGTCCGCCGCCACCCACCTGATAAGCGCGCCCTCTGTGGGGAAAATGGTCGAGTCGCGTTTGTCGACGGTGAGGATGTGCTTGACGGCCGATTTCAGCGAGTGGCCCGCCTCGAGTCGCACCTCGAACGGCGTGGCCCGGTCCAGACAGGCCACCTCGCGCCACGCTACGTCGTAGCGCAGAGAGTGTAGCACCTGGCGGGTACGGGCCAGGGCAGGTCAGGTCACGTAGCATCGAATCGGTATCGTAATGTGATGCACATGGTGTTTACGCTAGGTCAGGTCAGGCTGAGGTCGCACACCGTCGTATCCCAATGCGAGGTGTCTAGCGGGAGATGGGTAAAGCCAATTACTCATATCCAAGAGGCATCATTTCCTAGTAATGTTCCCATGTTCCTATACTTTTTACTGGGGTTAAGCCAGGTGAGGCGGTGCGGCACAAAATATCCCACATATTTACACCAGTAACACTTTTGACTCTTGGCCTTTATTACTTATGCAAGGCTTTGACAAACAAGTGAAGTGTATTGCGTCGCTTGCTGTCTTACATATTATGTACATAACAAAAATAATACGCGAACTATGACAACATTCGTGCGGTCTGCTGAATATGGGCACAAAGTAAATAAATGGCACTCGTGTCTCGTTGATCATTTTACAGACGTCTGGCACATACAGGCGGGGCTGATCGTTAAGGCACGGTTAATAGGCTGGGAATGGGGACAGCTGTGAGGAATAAAGTAGCAAAAGGGTCCGGACCGTCCGGTCATGGCGGTAGGGCTGCAGTAAACACCCCTCCTACCTACCGGGAAATGGGCGAAGCAATGTGAGCACTTGGGGATGGGAGTGCAAATGAGTTCAACCGATAACGCGTACTGGTTTCATGTTTTGTCCATGCGTCAACTGGTAACACTCTTCAAGATTAAAGCAGGAACTTTGTTATGTTCCCAGTGACGTAAGCAAAACGAATTGAATAAAACTCCATAGATCACATGAATCATGTTATCTATGCTAACATGTTCATGTTATCATGTTATTCATGTTCATGTTCATTGTTCATGTTATTCATGCTTTCTATGCTAACTCCTAAGCAGTGAGCAACGCTCCTGAGTTTTTTCTAAGATAGTCCCGGTTACCCATGATCAGGTAACCAGGAGTGCCCCCTCCCACAGTCCCGGCGACGCACAGAGACCTTACTTTAACACCAGGGAACATAATAAATTGAACAAGTCGCGGCACTCCCTGCTAAGAAGTGGAAAATACAAATAAAATATAACGCATGCAATACTACAGTGTCGGCCCGAGCAAAATGACTGCCCACTATACCAACACAAGCAACTACCATTCATACCGGTGTTAGTAGTTAACGCAATACGCATTCATACTCGGGTGGGGAAAAGCATGCCTGGTCTGTTCTTGCAAGGTCGTTTTATTGCCGAAACCCTTGGCTCCGTTCGGCTAAGCTAGGCTTGTTGCCGGAGTTATTACAAAACCTGTATTACCGCACTGCGATATCATACCGCCAGGAAAACATTTTAAGGCGGGCCAAAGCGCGTCACACCATGTGAAATGACCTCTACTTGAAGTGGCATTACCAAACAGCACAGCACTTACGTCTGTGGCGGATCGGAAACTGAGATCCAGTAGCAGGCCGCGATCGATTTCTCGGAAACCCGACCACGGAAAGTCCGTTCCAGACTGGTACACTGACGTGGACAACCTGAAGCGATACAATATCATATATTTATGGTATGGTCGTTGCAGACTAAAGTGGAACGGTTGTAAAGCTGGTGAACAGGGAACAGGGAATTGGGCCTACTGGGGATGTATTGCACCTGAACATACTGGTATTGAATCAGACTAGAGGCTGCAACCAACACCAATGCATCGTGCGATACCTACATCATACACTGATGGCGCTGGAAATGAAAAAGGCTGAAAAACGCGACTATCCAACATGCTGTGTAAATATATAGAGACAAGCAGCATCGGGACTCGCCAATATTATTAATGCACTGGGAATAACATTTTTTTTGTGAATATGTCTGGCGTCTGGGTACATTCACGATTGACAATGCTGGGTTTGCCAATAACATCAATAAGGGAACAGCACCATATGCCTCGCACCAGTCCCATCCCGGCAATGGTATGCTTTTGATAATAGACCTGCTAAGTCGAAATGCCATGGAAAAGTGTCTGCGAACGACCCTGGGTACTTTGATTGATGGGAATGACGGCAACCAAGAAAACAAATGGAAGGCCAAAACATCAATTTATTATAAAGGCATGAATGCTGAAGAATCGATATATTCTTACAGATGTCAACTAACCTAGTCATTAATCACGTAAATATTCCACTACAACAATCAATCAATTGCATTTGGAATGTTATCCTAGATTAACGATGGGGGGGGGGGGGCGGCAGGTATAATATCCGGCTATGAGCTCAGCATGAGAAGAAAGGCATCTCAACCTAGGACCGTTTTTACATATTCCAGATTATATATCCAACTCCGTCACATATAACCCAGCCCCGCTATTCCATCACACAGTCCCTTCTCTTCCCTTCACAAACACTCCAATAGATCAACTCACGTGGTTCCGGCGGCGTTGTGGAAGGGCTTGACGAAGGCCAGATTGACGCCGGTGGTCTTGTTGGTGCCGTAGGTGTACTCCCCCTGTAGCTTCTCGCCGCGTCCGGCCAGGTTGGGCAGGCGGCAGCTGAGCACCAGGGAGCCCTCGTTCTGACCGACCAGCGTGTTGATACCTCCGACGATACGACGCAGCTCCTGTACCTCGAACGTTACCTGGTGGGAGAGACAGGGGGTCGGTGGGGGAAACGATACTAAGACGAGTCTATCCCCAACAGCTCAACTCAGAGTCACGGGACATACTCGTATTCTAGGAACAGCCTAGTCAACAGAGGAAAAAGTAGATGCCTCTAGCTAGCTCCATATAGCTCAAAGAAATAGTTCCCAAAATCTGACCATTTAATGAATTTCAGAAGCTAGGCCTTCCCACTTCAAATGAGACCTACCATTCCTGCAGCCACAGCGGGCGGTGGCTATAGGAGTCTCATGAAAAACGGAAACACAGCCCATAAAATTACATAAATGTAGTTATAAGCCGACGTTTGCATGGAATGTTACGTGATCAGCCAAAATAGATCAGAACATAGCAATAAGCCAATATCGTTCGACTTACTCTACTCCCGTGTTTCAAACAAGACTCTGAACGAACGGCACGGAGGCACGCATAGCCACCGTTCATAGTACGCTCATACACGAGAAAAAGCCCTACGAACGTTTTGCGACCCCGCTGGCAGCGTGACCTCATAAAGTTACTCCGGAACATAATCGTTACGGAAATGTGACGGACGACACACGGCTGCGTGCATGTAGACAAAGCATCACTCACGCTAATTGTGCAGCAATAAAATGTATTCGTGTTCACCGCTGCGGGACCATGTCGGAATGTATTGTATTGTAACCGTTTTTCGTCCGGCAGAGAAATGACGCAGGATGTTTAGGCGTGACATCCTTTCGTCGGAATACGCTACATCGTTATAGTCATCGGTTCACACTTCATCATTTAGTCAATAATATCCAAAATAATGGTGCGACGAAGCTTCTATCAGTTGAAAACTGAAGGGTCACCTGACTCTTATATCGAAGGAAAGCGGTTTATGGTGTGCGAAAATGGAGCAAAGAAGAAAGTAATAATATCCAGGGGTTTCCTTCATTGCTTTTTTTTAGCGATTATACACAGACGTTGGTATAGGACGTCAGTACCTCAAAACAGCCAAGCACCATTCACTTTCCTGACCAATGACCGGAATCCCCAGCATCAAATAATTTTGGGGTCTGTTCGTGCCACCCACCGACTTCAACTTCCCTCTCTTCTCCCGTCCATTGATTACTCAACCTCCCACGCACTCTGCCCTTGTTCCACCACCCATCCCTCCCTCCCACTGCCCTTTCCCCCACTCCTCCCCCATCAACTCACCTCCAGCCCCTTTTCGGTAGCTTCCGGACCGCGGCTGGTATCAATAAACACGCCCACAGAACGGAAACAGCCGAGCTGCTCCAGCCTGGTGCGTGCCTCGTGCGTGCGTGTGATCACATCCTCGAGTGTGGCCGCCTCGAACATGGGCTGCACGGTGGCCTGCACGAGATCATCCTTGGTGCGACCCACGCCGTCCACGTGCACCTTGTCCACACGAGCCTGTGGAAGATGGTGGAAGTGAGTGGAAAATTACCGGCGGTATGGTCATGGGGGATAGTGCACTGAAAACAACTAATAAAAGCGGCGAATGAATGGAAAGGCGGAAAAAGTGAATGGAAAATGTCATGGGGGCATTCCATGTCAACCGGGACAGCCAAAATCGGCCACCTCTGCGATTTTGTTCAAACTTGGTATGCTTGTTGGCTATTGGGTGAAACCTCTGAGGGTCAAAGGATTTTGTCATATGCCCTCGGGCTACAGAGATACAAGCCGCTAAACTTCTGCTTTTTTAGCAGAATTGGACGTGTATTGCAATCTTGAAAGATCTATAGCTTCAACATTTTTGAAGCTATTAATTTCAAACAAACGGAAACGTGAACACGAGGAGTTATGCTAGTTAAATTTGGTAATTTTAACATTTTTTGGTGATTTTGAATTTATTTTATTTTGAATTAAATTCTTAAAATCTAATTTGTGAAAAATGGGTACCCTTCGATTTTGCTTAAATTTGGACATTATCTTCCACCACACGTAAGGCATACGTGCTGAGAAAATTAGAGTGGGCCAACGATAACTTTGGATGATATAGCAACAAGTAGTGCAACGTAGCACGGGCGATGGAAGGGGCGGATTTCGCCAACCCCACCTGTTTTTCGCCAATAACTCACGCCATAACTATTATGTTAACGGCAAACTTTCAGCATCTGTCCAGAATTGAATTGCAAATCCTCCTGTGCAAGCAATAGGTAAATCGGTCCACAACTTTTCTAGTAATAGCGGTGTAAAGTCAAACATCTTGCCGGAGCGGCGCGGCGGCCGGCGTCGGCCGTTGCCGCCTGAATGGTAGACTGTGCCGGCGCCGGACGGTTCCATCTTTGCACTGCGCTTCTTACCGCTGATTATGATCGATTCGTGTCAAATTTTGTGTGAAGGCTTAAAAATGTACAGGCAAACTAATGGTCAAATAAATACGAAAACCAACTGGTAAAAATTGAATTATTAGGGTGCAAACACAATCTGTGACTGAAACGTTTCCCGCGTCGGCCGATCCCCGCGCCTTTGCCGGCGACATCTTACTCTTAGCAGGCCACTAACTGCCAAATTTATGGTTAGATTATCTTAAGATTCTCATAACACTACAAATGTCGTAAAAAGGAAGAAATAGGAAAATCGGCCAGTAACTCTTAGAGCTATGGGCGTATAAACGCAAAATAGTCACCAAAGCAAATTTCATCACGATTAACCTCATTTGATCTTGAAGATATTGATCTAGGGCCATGAAATTGGCACACGATAAAGTTCCCCACCGCCCCACCTACAATTCAAATTCCGTTTTTTATACCTTTTTTGGCTAAACCGGGCCTTTCTCCCCTAGCGCTGGGAGAGTCAGGCGTATTTCCTTTTTGCAACCAAAGAGAGGCGCTGCCCGGAGAATGCCCAATTGCATCATTAAAAAAAAAAAACTGGCTTACATCTCCGCGATGACCAGCTATCTCCGTGGCTTAGTAGTTAGTGTGCCGAGTGTACCCAACTCGTAATCTAAAGGTGGCTGGCTCGTGGCCGGTTAGCCTCAAGTGTTTAAACACGCATTCGTTTTTTAAGTAGCATCTGGCCAGCCGGCAAATGTCGTGCAGGGCTAATGTTCGTATCTAAGTAGCATTTGGCCAGTCGGCAACGGCCGTGAGGGCTGTACATATTTACGCATGTTAGATTAGGTCAGGTCACGTCAGGTCAGGCTAGGTTTGCTTTGGTTTGGGGCAGAAAGAAGCATCTCCGGGTAGCGCCTCTCCTTGGTTGCTAAAACGAAACACGCGAGTGCCAGACATTCCGAAGTCCAAAAGGCAGTTACGTAGACGTCGGCCCATTCTGGATTTTTTATATGATGTAGCTTATGTATGGGAGAATAAAGTATGAGAAAATCAGCAAAATCGAAGGGTACCCATTTTTCAGAAAATCAAAATTTATTTTTTTAATTTTAATTTAGTTCATTAATTAGCTAATTATGTCAATATTGTTATCCTCAAATTAAAGCCTGATCTATTCCCTCCATTTCACACTTTGTCTCATGGTGATATGTCTAAAACTTCAATGGTTATGACGCTTTAAAGATGACAATGTGCCTTGCCTAAGTCAATGTTTGATGACGTGTACCTCGGAAACGTGACGTCATATCTTGACAAAAACATGTCTCCTTTCTTTTCACATATAGATGAGTAGTTTCACAAAGTTTCGCAAAAATCGTAGGAGGTGAGGTTCAAAATGGTCATTTTTTGTCTCACTTGACGTGGAATGCCCCCATGGTGACAGACAGCAAATACAAAATATGAAAAAATGAGTGGAGCACGTAGTATGCTATATCAACTCATTCACAAGTTGTCTAGCCGAGCTAACATGCCACAAGCGATCAGTTCAGCTCCCTTTATGCCCTGGCTAGTGCGGAACGCGCTCGCCAATACACTTAACACATTACGGAGAGGATCAATGCCACATAAAAATTCTACAGATAATTACACTTGGCCAGGCAGAAGCCATCGGAATGCCACGCAAACTTCATTCGTTTCGAGCGTAACTATCGTGCGTGAGGTTAAAACAAACATATTATTACCCGTCAACATGCAACGCAGGCACCACCAAAGTCAAACTCTCATTGTGTGTAAGCAGGACACGTCGTGTTAATTTAGAAGTATGCCAATGTGAATCAACATAAGTGCATGTCACAGATGCTTACGACAGCGCGAGGAGACATTTCGCGCTTTGTGGCTGTCGATACTTCCAGGGCAGACCATGACCACAATGGACATTATCGAGCACCGACACAGCCAAACGGATGCGGCGTTCCCACGGCTCGCTGCCGGCTCCGTGTGTAAGTGGCCACCCACCTGTATGGTTTTGAACTGCTCCAGCATGGAACGCTCCTCGTGGGCGGCCGGGGTCAGATCCTCACTGGCCGCCGCCTGTGGGCACACGCGGGGTCAGGGGTCATCAGAGGTCAGGGTACGGGTCATCAGAGGTCAGGGTACAGGCCATCAAGTCATATGGGTCGGTACAGGTCATCAAGTCAGCTTATGGGTCAGCAAAAGGTCAAAGCTCAATCAAAGCAGTCAGATGACAGAATATGGTTCATCAGAGGTCCTGGTCCATGTTCTTCAGAGGTAAGGGTACAGGTCTTCGGGGCCCGGGTCATCAGCGATCAGAGAAAGGATCAGTGGTATGAACAGGGGTCATCAGAGGTCAGGATCTGGAGGTCAGCATGAGATGGAGCGGCAACAGTGGCACTGGGCAACACAGAGTGACAGCAGCGCTGGTGTCCTGTTTGCGTCAAAATGGCATATTGACGGAAATTGTTCATATGCCGGCCTAAAAAGGTGGTGTTAGAGCTCATGCGTTAGCCTACGATGTCCACAATTCTATGAATGTGGCGGACGTTATTGGCAACAATATAATGACTGGTTCAATTACTGCGACCACTACTGATCCTTGCATCCAAGCATCGATTCATGGTGAATGCTCCGAACAAAGGGAAAAAGGTCACGCACATTGGCCATGCCGGGCATTGGTTGATTGATCATACCTGCGTTCCTGCGGAGCCAATAATGTCGGGTCATTACCCCTTACACACCAAACCTCGAAACACGAAACAAATACGGTCATACCCAACCAAAAGAACGACGAACGGTGCTCTGCTGCAGTCCAGTAGAATGGACAAACCTGGGCTGAGAATAAAAGTAAGAAAGAAGTTATTTATTACATCAAAATGTAACGCGATCCGGGAATGGCTGTGCTACAGACTTCATTCACAAATGTATGAAAGAGGATTAAGGTGAAAGAGGATTGTTTCTTAGCGGCATAGGCGCTAGAGCTCGCAGATAGCAGACTGCAGCAATTTTGCGTCACCAAGAGCTTTTAATCATGGTGGATCCACGAAACATATATTAATGTTTTAATTGGCACAATAAATATGTATATTTAATCTATTTAGTTTCATAGAAGAGCGAAATTAGAGGAAATGGTATATGTATTGCTCTCTTTCCACGCACTGCGCAAATGGCTTGCACACGGCACATCCGGGAGCCTCAAAAGCGCATGGTTAATTGGTTAATTTCCTGTAAAGACTTGTTCAATAGTTGTTGGGAGTCTTGGGACACCATCAGGTGACCAACATTTACATACCATTCACCGAACAGACATGCTCGCCATTGCGTTTCCTCCATCCACAAATAACCCAATAACGACTCCGCATGGAGCAACGCACAGTAAAATGGAAACAAACGACAGCCTTCCACGCCAGGTGGGGCGCTGTTCCGACCCTCACTGCATGACCATCGTCACACAGGTCGCATGCAATGGTGATGAGGCCTGTTTGAAGGCGGTCCCGGCAGACGGCATCAATCAAGGATCGCGGGGTGCCGGCATTGCCAGTGTTTGGAGCACAGTGTAGCAGCTGGACACTCCCACCATTCCGAGTTCGATGGTCGGCCGGACTGGCACGGGACAAAACACGGACACGCGGAACGCCTCCCTGTGTTTTTGCATGAATGGTGATGTAAATGATGGTACAGCCCAAGGCTATATAAACCAGGTAGAACGCTCCCGAAGAAAAAGTGGTGACAAGCAATATTTAGTTGCCGCGACCCTCACTTGTTCAAGACTATATCCGCAAGCAGCATTTACAAGCTAGCGGAAATCGACCAATCGGCGTTCGGCAATACTCAACGCTGATTGGCCCGATGCTCGTGACGAAATTGCGGGGGACTGCAGCTACTCCCCTATGGCGTTTCATTGACTTATGACTTTTGAAGGGGATTTGTATCAGTTTTTGTTGGGTTTGAGGCCATTTTTGAGCTTGGATATTCTTTCCGTGACCTTTGACTATATAATAACGACATTTAATTATGACATTTCTATATACTACCGGTGTCACATCGGCCAAAAAGACCGTAAGTACATGGGATAGACGGACCACTGCTGATGGGGCCACACATGTCGGCGTGTGGTCATCGGAGGCCCATGAGGGCTCGACATGGGCCCTTTATGGGTCGGTATAGGCCCAGTGGGTCCAGTGCAGGCCTACCAGGGGCCGGTGGCATATAATGTAAGGCTGTCTCGGGACGAATTGAGGGCTCATGGGGGCCATATAGGACCATTAGGGACAACATAAGCCAATCAGGGGTCCATTTAGGCCAATAAAGGCGCTTCAGGGACTTGAAGAGGCCATTCAAGAGCCGTGGTGGGCCCATGAGGGGACGGCATTGGTCCATCAGGTGCAGTCAGGGGATGTTGTACGGGTTTCTCAGTGACCCATTTGGGCATATCAGTGACCAATTTAGACCCAGCAGGGGGCTTTGTAGACCTATCAGGGGCTGGTGATGGTTTATCGGAGGCCAGCGTTAGTCCATCGGGGCACGGCATGCCCATTAGAGGTAATTGCGGGCCCACACTGAACAATGATGGCCCTTCAACGGCCCCTAATGGATCTAGATTGACCCATGTTCCATGATGTGTCATGTATGCCCCTATGGCAGGCCTACTCAGACCCCTGATGGACGTTCCCGGCCTCTGATGACCCTATACTGAATCCTGGTGGGGCTCTAAGAGTCTCCAATAACCCTTCTTCAGCCCATTATTACCATACGCTGGCACTAAAGGCCCCACATCAGCCGCAGGGCAGTCCGTGCCAAGACAGCATGTCTTTTCGGCCGATATTACATCGGTAATATTAATTAAAATCATGATTTTATGGTGCCATTATATAGCTAACAGTCATAAGAAATATATTTCAACTCGAAAACAGCTCGAAACAGCATATAATCTTAAAGAAACCCCTCTGAAATCCAAAAGCCTATTCGGGTCCATAGAGAATAACTGCGGTCCCCCGCAATTTCGTCACGAGCGTCGGGCCAATCAGCGTCGAGCACTGCCGAGCGCTGATTGGTGGATTTTCCGCTAGCGCGTGAGTGCTGCTCGCGGAACAAGAGTTCGTCGACAATCCTCCACAAACGTCTGTCACCACTTTTCGTAATGCTAAACAGCCGGAGCGTACCCCCCTGGTACAGCCAATCATTTACTTGTCGTACAACAATTTCTCAGCTGGAATGTTCCGATGTTTACTAATAACTGTTCCAGAAGTTTATTGGTATCATTACAAGAATGACGCGTGAAACGCAGATGATGAAACGCAGAAAACGCAGAAGCGTAAGTAATTTTCTTCAAGGGAAGAACTACCGTGACCGTTTGACATTGCGTTAGACAATAATTTCAATAATAAGAAGAGGAAACCCCTTTCATGTCCCTCATCGGCGCATGAACGAACACAAGTCACGGAAACTCATCGACAGAAAGACATGCAGCTACATCCATCCATCAACCCCAACAAACAACCAAATGTATGAGAGACCATGCATAACGATACAACAGTGTGTACCAATCAACGTTTGGCGTGCGCATAGGTCGACGCCGGCCGGGCGGGGTGGGTCACCATACGTCACATCGACCAGGCGACCACTGCGTGGCGCTCTACTGCTGCCCCAGGTGGGAGTCCAGTGTGGCGGTGCTGCCCGCCCGCTCGGGCAGCCGCGAAGATGGTGCTTCACTGGCGGAGACTGGTCGGCCTGCTGTGCTGCACGGTCAGGTCTGTAAGGTGGCTGTTCCGAGGGGCAGTCGGGCATTGGGCGGATATTTATCTCACGAGTTACGAATTTCAAACAACGGACTCTGCTTTTCGTTGACATTATCTGGGCATATGAGAGCAACTTTTAGTTTTATCTAAATACAGTGCCAAGTCTTCCTAGTTATATCAAGGGGATTTATGCATTCGAAGAATGGCCCGCTGAATTTCACAAAATTTCACAAAGCTGATAGTGTCGGACTCCCAAAACAATAGCGACTCGATGATACTGGAATTCCAAGCTTAAACGAGCCTTTGGCTCGTTTCCAAGGCTCCGCTGAGCCTTTGAAATGTGCATACATCTAAAAGAGAACATGGATGTGATTAACTAATAACTATAGACCAGTGCATACTTGCTATGTAGGGTCTGTAGATAAAGATTTGACTAAGAATTCAAAATGTTCACGCTAACGAGCTGTACAGTGTGTGCAGTGTACACATCATTAACGTCGTGCAGTTCGACACCAATGCTCTTTACGCTCTCAATCACACACACGCTTCAACTATGTATCATATGGTGTGCAGAGCGCTTATGCGTGACAAACTGCCCGTCAAGAGGTGCCGCATTATCTATCAACGCCTGGTTCCGTGTGAATCCACTCTCTTACATCGCCATGCTCTTGTTCCCAGCGTGCTGTCCGCGGCCACCACCGCCAACAGCACTGTCTGCGAGCGGCCGCCGCCCGACCAGCTGATTCCCGCTGACTACGACCGACGCGTGGCACCCTTCTCCGGCGACCAGGCGCTGCCGGTTCACCTCTCCGTCTGGGTAGTGGCCGTCACCTCAGTCAGCGAGCTACAGTCGGATTTCTCCGTGGCGCTCTACCTGCGGCTGAAGTGGCGCGATCCGCGTATCGTGTTCCCCACCTGTCTGCGCCGGCCGTTTCTGCTGATCGAAACGGGCGAGATTGATCGACTCTGGCTGCCCGATGTGTATTTTGTGCATGACAAAAAGTCGTCCAGGCATATGGTGGTGCGGCGAAACGCGGCACTGCGGTTGAACCGAGAGAACTCGACGCTCTACTTCTCTGAGAGACTGACGCTGACACTGCGCTGCAGCTTCGACTTCGAGCTGTTTCCCATGGACACGCAGGTCTGCGAAATGATCATGGAGCCATACGCCTACGACAAGCAGTTCATGGACCTGCGCTTCGAGAATCCGGGCATCTACTTCAACAACTTCAAGGCGCGCATCGCTCAGTTTCAGCTACTGCGCGTGCTGCCAGGTAACTGCAGTTATACCTATCTCTACCAGGGAACGCAGCTTCGCCAGAGCTGCCTGCGGGCCGTCTTCTTCTTTCAGCGTGCCTTCAACTACTACCTTCTGCAGATGTACGTGCCGTCGATGCTGATTGTGGCCATCAGCTTCCTGGGTTTCTGGGTGCCGGTGAACCTGGTGCCGGGTCGGATCGCGCTCTCCATCACCACGCTGCTGACGCTGGCCACGCAGTCGCAGACGGTGCAGCGCCAGCTGCCACCCGTCTCCTACATGAAGGCCAGCGACGTGTGGATGTTCGCCTGCATCCTGGCCGTGTTCGCCACCCTGGTGGAGTTCACGCTGTCGTACCGACACTACGACCGGCGCCTGGTCAGCGAACAGAGCGCCGTGCTGCCGCTGGGCCAGCCGCGCCGCGAGCAGCGCTCCCTGCACGGCGGCTCCAGTCTCCGGCGCCGCCTGACACTCGCGTCCCGGTCACCCCACTTTGTCGACAACGTGTCCAAGATATTGTTCCCGGTCTCGTTTGTTTTGTTCAACATCATTTATTGGCTTTATTTTACGGCTAGCCAAAAGAAGAAGCATCTCGAAAAGATGAAGTATATTGCGTAAGCGCTTGTGAAAAGTTGACAGCTCAGGAGAGCAGTGCACAAATATCACGAAGTTATATTTGTGATATTTGTGTTATCACGAACCTAGTTACGGCATACGTCATCATTGCCGTCATAGGCACTTTTCTGCGCAGTTATTAATGGCCGTTCCGATTTGGATTTCCCGGTTAAAACTTGCAACTTGGTTTTAATTTATCTCGATTTTTGAATTGATCGTATTTGCTAGGCCAAAAAACAACTTATAACTAAATTAAGTGTGCTGATCAAAAATTTAATGCATTCTTATATCATCGAACAAGCAATATTACGGATACGTTGTAATACGATCGTTGAACCCCAAATCAATGTTGTATGGGCGAAAAGAAAACAAAAAGAAAAAGGACGAAAAGAAAAAGAAAAACAAAACAAAAAGAAAACTGTTAATTGAGTTGGTGGCCGCCACTGGCGGTCGCAGGGGGGGGGGGGGGGGGGGGCCACGGGGGCCATGGCCCCCCCTTTGGTGCTGAAAGGTGGGGCCATACTATCTTTTGGCCCCACCTTTCAGATCGAACAAAAGTCCTAGAAAAGTTTTTCGTATGTTTCATTTTCTTTCTTGCGCCATCAAAGGACGTAAATTTCACTCATGAGTGGGCTCAGTTTCGCATTCTGTCAATTTGGCGGTCAGCGTCGCTGGCACCGGTTCACGAGTATGGCCGGATCTTATATGGAATATCAGCGTGGGTTTACTTGAGGCTCTCGTAGGCCCAGCATTCAGCAATGGCTGGCATGAGACCCTCTTCGGCAGTGGCGGGTGGGCCCTGCTAAAGGAGATTGGCTCCAAGACACTAAAGTAAGACCTCATGGGTTGGTGCTGTGCACCTCAGAAGCCCGGTGGTGACGCCGTATGCCGGCTTGGTTTCTTAAGGATTAGCGTGGGACCTCCGGGGCCTGCATAGAGTTTGCATGAGCTAGTATGTAATCTCAGAGGCATGTGTGTAATGTGTACACAGTGGCGGTCGCGGGGGCCGGGGGGGGGGGGGGCATCAGGGCCATGCCCCCAAAGGTCAATAAAGGGGGCCATCATATCATTTCCCCCCCCCCCCCCCCTCAAACAACCAATGGGCCCCCATATAGGTGTATGGGGCCCTGGCAATTATTCGATCGTCACGAGGCTAAAAAACCCACGCCCAGCTATTAATATAGCTCCCACACCGGTCTTTGAACGTCCTACACTGACCTCTGAGGGAACTTCAGTGGCGGTCAAGCGCCTACGTTGACCGCTAAGAGCCTACATCAACCTCTGAGGCCCCACATCTGGCCTATGAGGGCCCCTAACCGGCCTCAGTGGTCCCAACCGGCGTCTGAGGGTCTCACACCGGTCTCCGGTAGCCTTATTTTTGTCTCTGGTGTCCCAAGACGAACCTTTAGGTGCCAATAAGGGCCCCGCACTGGCTGCTGAAGACCCGATGCCGGCCTCTAAGGGTCTGCATTGGCCTCTGAGGAGGGCCCATCTTGGCCTTTGAGGGCCCTCTGCTGGCCTCTGGGGTCCAACGACGGCTCATGCCGGTCTTTTAGGGCCCCACGCTGACCTCTGAGGGCCCATGCTGGCCTGTAATGAGTAAGGACCCACATTAGCTTCTGAGAGCCCAACTCGGTCTCTGATGGTCTCAAACTACTGGCCTTTGTAGTTTGCAGGCCCTGTGCTGGTCTCTGAGGGCCCTAAACTAGCCTCTACATGAAAACATACATGGGTGGGTTTCTGAAGATCAGAGGGCTCACGCAGTCTCCGGCACAGCCTTACGTTGGTCCTGATCGAGATTGCTTTACGTCCTGATGGTCCCGCGCTGATTCCCTCATATTTCGAGGTCGGGACCCCATGAGCCGGTATGGGTCCTGGGGCTGGCAGAGACTGATGAAGTCCTTAGGGCTCAGGGCCAGTCTTTTTAGCAGTAGGACTAGGCAGGTTGAGTGAGCCCCAACAGAGCCGTTGCGAAGCCCCGCAGGAGTCGCGCGCGGCCCTCAGATGCCAATTCTGAAAGCTCGGAACCTGTGGGGGTCTCCAGAGGCCGGTGTACCTACTCTCTCCCGCCGCCACACAACTAGGTACCTATATGGGTAAATGTCATAGTCTAAAAATGCTCTCTGGGTTTCACATGCTTGTTCAAAGCAAGAGGCATCTGTACTTTTTAGCAAGATGTATCTGTACTTTTCCGAATTGTTTTATAGTGGTAAGGTCATGAATCCGCGTGCCTGACCTTCCAGTATACCTATGCTTCACCGATCCGTCGTCATGGACGGTGCAGCGGCCCGACCGGTGGGCACACCGTGAGACGGTAAATGGAACTGGTGATTTTGCCTTAAATTCCTTAAATTGAGCTCAAAGATTTCACGCAAGAATGAGATGGATGAAGCATAAGTAATGCCAACTGTGCGGCGCCTCGTGGACGTAAAAAATTAGCCGATCACCCCCCCCCCCTCCCGGTGACGGATAATGTTATGTCCCGCGAGTGTGACTTTGGCCCCCCCTTTTGCTAGCGGCTGCGACCGCCAGTGGTGGCCGCGGATGACGACTTATCATTTCAACACATATTCAGCATACCGTGTCACCATGACAGCAATACCTATGTACAGCCCACCGCTAAAGTAATGTAGGGTTTTACCAATCTCAACGGTTGGCTTTGACTGGCGATTGTTTAATGCGGAGTGATCGAAAATAAGATGTCAATAGCTAAAGTTCCAGCTGCAAGGGTGACGATAGATATAAGCTACATTTAAAGTTTTATTGTAGTCTGGCTAATCGTTCCTAAGCTTCAGAAGCACAACATACCCATGACTGAAACCCCACATTACTTCTGCTGTGGACTGTACCTGAATGAAAATAAACGAAACAATGTATGTGCATGACAATACACATTTCACGATGGAGGCGTCCTGGCTTGAGCACTGTAAACAGCAGGACAGAAAACAATCGATGGAATTACCTACCTACCTAGAACTGATGTTTTTGGGAACAATGGTGTTTTATGATACGCCAAGTAACTTTATCGCACAAAACTGTCAGCACGAGCTTGATACGCATTGCAAGATCCCACTACATCCTGTTCAATGACCTTTTTTGCACATAAATTGAACCATCAAATTTAATGACAGCAAACGAGACGAAAAAGTTAAAAGTACCTATGCCTTTTATGATGTTTCAGGTCAACGTGGAGGCACATTGCTCAGTGTTGGCGAAATCACCCAATTTTCAGCTAACTACAGACCCATCTCAAGAGGCCCACAGAGACAACCCAACTATCAAAGCCATCGGACGAAAGCATATGCTCACGATGAATAAGCCAAGTGAGCCATTTGAACGCATTTAAATGACCTAAACGTATCTAATGACCAAGCAAACGCGTTAATGTACATTGTACAAGCAAAGTGGGGCGGTAAAGGTGGCCAGGCAGAATGAAGTGTCTACATGAGCGCATACAAATCGATACATAACGTCTTGTCGACCTTAATAATAGTAACAAGGAATAGTAAGCAGGGCGTAATAAATATTCAAGGGAATGGCCTGGATTTTGCAAACCCAACACATTCACCAATAGGGCCCGTACATAATCAGTCAATGAGGCTGCAGAACTGAGCTTAAAATTCACGGGCAGGACAGTCACCACCCGAGCCTTTTACACAGCTATTGGATACCATGCATCACATAAAGAAATGGGAGCAAACTCGAGGAGGTAGCGCACCATTCCATTAGTTCACCTGCTCCAATTCCCTTTTCAAAACTTCTCGCTCAAACTAGCAGGCGTTGCTAATTACAGGCAAGCTAAAACCAAACTTACATTGATAGTGATACCTTCACGTTCTCAGGTACGAATGCAACCAACAAGCTTCCTCCATGCAATTTGCTACTCCAGAAAGTCTACTTGGTGATCCCTCGCCAACCAGCCCGAGCGTGGACGGTGCTGCCACCTACACAGAGCCGGCAAATGTGACAGTGCCATCAAACAAAACGAGCACATTCGCTCCCGATAGGTCCTTATGCGATGATATAAGACATATAGCATTGCTTTTTCATAACCACATTCATCGCAATCTAAATTTCACTGAGAGGGCCGCGCCGTAGCGTATCTTGCGCTAGGAGTTACATGCCATGCGGCACAGCATACTTTCAGGCGTTACTGCTAGTGCCATCTAGCGAGGGGAATCTCTACTAGTCGAATACTAGCTCGTTCTGAGTAGCTGAGGAACGCTACTCGGTTCGGAGACGAACGTTTTATCGAAAAATATTTCGAGAACAATAAAGGGGCAGAGAAGCACAAAAATGTGGCAGTCAAAGGCAATAAAACAACAGCAACAAGAAAATGAAACAAAATGGAACCTAGGAAACAAAGGTCATGACTGTTCATTAAAGTTACGTTATCCTCAATTCATCATTCCTCTCACAACCTCAGCTTATGTGCGCACTGTGCAGGTAAGCGTCGATCAGCACATCAAGATTTCGTTTTTTTTTTTTGCTGTAGGCATAACTAACAGTCTGACTAGGGGAGCCAGGTGTATTATTGGCCTCGAGATAAGGGTTCCAGCGACCAGTAGATAGCGGCGTTAAATGCCCTCACCCTCGCCCCCATTCGGGTGGGACTGGGTCCACTTAGGCAGAATCTGCCAGCTTGGTCGCTCTGATAGCTACGGGCATTCAGACTGCACCCAAACTACTGGTCGCTGGAGCCCTTACTCGAAACCTATACTATAAACGCAGACGGCACCTACCTTGGCCTGAACGGCGCCCATGGTGATGGAGCTTCACGAGCACTTCCACAGGCCAGCCGGCACCTGCCGAAAATGAGGTCTCCGTCAGGATTCATATCACATACAGCAGAGTATACGTGTATGAGTTCAGAGCTATGCTGTGGTGAATTTCAGAGGTTCGGAGTCGGAGTCGCCCGAAGTCGTGACCACGAGCCAAGAGTCGGTGTCGGTGGCGGAAGAGTCGTAGTCGGTAAAGCTGCGTGGACGCTAAAACCTGGCGTATTTCTAGACTCGTTTCTGAGGAGTCATTTAAAGCAATACATTATACCACCCGCAAAAAAAAAACAGCCGATTGCTCTCGACGAGACATAGCAAATATTGACCAAAGGTTTAAACTCTAGGTATGTACAGTCCACAGCAGAAGTAATGTGCGGTTTCAGTCATGGGTATGTTCTGCTTCTGAAGCTTAGGAACGATTAGCCAGACTACAATGAAACTTTGAATGTAGCTTATATGTATCGTCACCCTTGCAGCTGCAATTTTAGCTATTGTCATCTTCTTTTCGATCACTCCGCATTAAACAATCGCCAGTCAAAGCCAATCGTTGAGATTGGTAAAACCCTACATTACTTTAGCGGTGGGCTGTACCTGACCTTGACATTCTTCACTTTATCAACTCATCAAGACTGCATTAAAATTATGCCTGGACTGATCCAAAACCTTTCATTCATGGCTTGTTCGTCGACACTGCTTATCAATCTATTTTACTCGTTTCCGTAAGTTCCCAGGTCTGGAGACTGCCCTCAGCCTATGAAGGCTCGGTAGACCCACAGTGCCTTGAAAGGCCCTCAACCTGATCTAAGGGTTTTCTTTACTAGTGAGATCAGCCATCCAGTCTCAGAAGGATCATACCAGCCCCTAGGGACACTGTAGAAGCAAGAGAAGACCAAACCACGCTGAGATGGCAAAGCAAGTTGCGTATCTATCACTCAGTGCTGTCAGTGAAGCCATGGGTCCAGACCCCAACAACTCCCCAGGGTCTTCAGCGCTGATCTGACCCATGCAGGAAAACCTATTCTGATAGCTGGGATATGCCATGCCATACGAAATTGGTAGATAATTAACACTAAGAACACTAATTGGCGCAGATCAGGCCTTACGCCGATGAGTCAAGGAGACGCTGTGAGTTGCACTTGGGATTAGAAACACACATGGGTTGTGCTCCGTTGCAAACACCAAACACCACAGCAGAACTTGCTTCATCACCCTGGCCCCAGGACAGGTAGGTGTCATGAGCATGTGAGTGCACGTCTACAGTATCTTTAGGAATCTTGTTGGTCTGCTGATCTGCGCCATTCAGCGACTGACATGCGCCACAAAATTTAGCGGTCGCCATGATCTGAATTTGGCACATGTGAAGTTTCGTCAGACGTGTGCTGGGGAGCCATACTGGAAACCATCCACACACTGCGCCCGACGTCTGTGAGACCCTCATTCGCCGAAATTCGGCGCAAGCAATTTTGCCCTGAAACTTCTGCATGAGTTGCACTGAAAGTTGGGTGTCTATTTGCGCAAAAATTATGCCACTTTTACATAATGCACATGAACACATCTACCAACCAAGGTTGTATCAACCAGACAGAGTGTTCGTGGGTCGAGCATCTGAATTAATGTGATGTTTCCAAATAATTTTTTTGGGGGCAGGGGGGAATTTCCATGGAATTCAATGGAATGGAATTGATGTTCGCCAATTCAACAATACGCTCAGCGGACTGTAGCGTCGTGGCATGAAACAAGGCCGGGACCGGAAGGACACACAAATCGGCACGCCCAGGTCAGCGAGAGGGCGGCCGAGGGCAGGGCGGCCGCTTGTTTTGTCAGATTATCCCCACTCTAATTCCTCTCGATCTCGCAGTGAGCAGGAAGGACTACCCATTGAAGGACTTGAGAATTGCTGAGCATTCACGATGCTCACCTTTCGTGGGCGGATGCTCCTCCGCTGAATAAACTCAGGGCGGCAGCAGCACATGACAGTCGGAGCAGGGGACATCTCATCCCAAACCCTCTCCAGAGCCACCCACAGCACGAACTGCTGCTAGATTGACCAGCATGCCAAAAATTCAGTGACTGTTATTCACCAAAAATGTTGTGGCTGCCCCACTCTGTGCTGAAAAATTCAACGGCTACCTACTATGTGCTGAACTCAACACATGCGAAGTGCTCTGGATGTGTGCATGCGAAAAACGGCGGGTGTGCTCCAAAATTTTCTGTGCAATCCCACTACTACGCGAGACATATTCAGCATAACATGCATTTTTCCAGTCTGGCTGAGGCGTGCAGAAATTTCAGGTGCAACACCACCACACCAGATAAATTTGGCATAGCGTGCATACTACATTTTTCCCAGTCTCAGTTGGGGAAACTACGAGGCGAATGTCAAAAAATGGATTGGTCAATAAATGGACTTTTGATGACCATATATGGGCATAAATGCAGCCCCCGCTACTAAGGGTGAAAAGCTGTATAACAAGCCGGTACTTGCGGTATCGTGTCTACTTATTGGGGAGAAAAGGCTTCCATTTTTCACTAGGAATTAGTGTGATTTGATTAAATTCGGCGAATTGACTCGAAAATGGCGATAGGTAAACGGCTTTTCTGCAGGTTCTGGGCATCACAATCAGCTGGCCATTCAATAAATGGATTGGTTTTATGAAAGAAAACTGTTTAAAGATTTAATTTAATTACAATAAACAAAAATATTTAATTCTAAAATAATAATTTAACTACAATTAGAAAAACCATAAACAAAATAATAAAAATGACATTTTTAAACCACGGTACTGCTTACATTTTTTGGCGCGTCTGTTTCAATCGGCCATATTTGCCAATCACGGTTTGACCATGCCGCCATGCGTTGTAACTCTGCGATTTAGAGCCGCCAGTTAATTATGCACTGGATGAGTGTAGGCCTTGTGTGGTTAAAAAACATTCTTATGCCTTATTTTTTCATTTGAATGCTAAAATTCATTGAAAAGATGAAGTTGTCTGATTTTATGACCATATATGGTCATTGCCCCGCCCACTCCAGCCGCTGATTGGCTTATCCAATTTTTGCTTGGCTCCTCGTAGTTTCCCCAACTGGTCTGGCATAACATTGGTAAGGTAAGGGCACCTGGTGATTGGTGGTGATGGTGTAAAGCGATATTGTCAATTCATAACCAAATGAAATAACACACCCTGATCAGAATCCAATTTGAATTGAGCAGGTAGGTAACTAACTTCCCTTTCAAATAACCCACCCAAGTCCACATGTCACTTTGACTTCCAAATCAAAATTGAAATTGAGTACAGACTTTAGAGTAAAATTGAAATTCAAGCAGCTCTAACCACGGTAATATATAGGTACGGTACAATATCTATAACATAGTCTACGTGCAAAATTCATAGTATGATATGCGCAATGCAGATATCATTCAGTATCAGTACCTCATCAGAGTGAGGTACCTCACTGATAGGTACCTCAGGTACCTATCAGTGGTGTGTGACCTATCACACACCACCTCCTTCAACAAAAATAGCGCGGTATGTATATTGAAAAATAGCAAAAACAATATAGTAGCCACGCCAAAAGACAACTATTTTGCGGCTTTGTCGAATAAAATTATTGTGGCGCCAGAATAACTAGCAGGGAAATGGACGCCAACAGCTGATGAGGTGACATTCCAGTTCTGCTACTTGCATGTTTTTTAATCCCACCCAGAAATGACAAACAAGCTCCCTGATTGGCCAGTTGCCGGCCAGTTGGACTTGAGCGGTCGCCATGGTGGTATCGGGGAATCGGCCGGCATCGTTAGGTGTTGAATTATGTGTTTCGTTGTGCTAGATATTGCCAATTTGCTTTGATATTTGATAAATAACGTTGGCTCATTCTTTGGTGACCTTGCATACTAATACGACGATATTTTGATACCGATTATTATGCATCAAACATCATGAGACAAATGTGGCGATTTCCACACCCTTTTGCAGTGCCCCCCTCTTGTGTAGTGAGTTAACAGGCTTGTAAGAACCAAGTGAACCATTTTTATGTCAAGTGGTCATGATCGTCCCTACATCTAATGGATGTACATCTACATCTAATGGAAGTGGTCTTGCGCAAACTTATAAAGTACTGGAGGAAGCAGAAGTTACGATTTTGGAGTACGCAAACTTGATGTTAAAAAATCTCAGGTATTTTGGCTATATAAAGTGAGAAGAAAAGTTCAATTGATCATTTTTTATTACAACTGCAATAATGATAATATCATGATAATTGTACTGTCAGGTATTGATAATAGTCATGTCACGTCATGCCACTATATCACCAGGCACACAGACACAACACATTTTCAACTTTATGTATCTAGGCATAAGGTGTTACAGGCATGTTTTTGCACACCTCTCATGTGCGAGAGGGCATGGCCTCCTTCACAGTTAAGTTTTGGCTGATTGTGCTCAAATTTTGTAGGTACCTACCTACATGTAAAGGGATGTAGATACTAGATACAGTTGGCCGGGCACTCTTCTTAATTCAGTTTTGTGCACCACTTCCTGCTTTCACCATGCTGTGCCCACTCTGCTTTACAGTGGACAGCTGCTTCTGTGACACGCATTAATCTTGCGTTCATTGAAACACTTAGTTTTGAGTGTTTTGACTCAGTTTTGTTGTAACGTTACCTGTGTTTATATTTACAATAACTTGTTTTGGGCTTCTCATATTTATCTTTTTTTCTTGGCTTAGCAGGTTTAGTGTAAAACAAGTTTTAGCTGACATTTTACATGTTAAGATTACATGAGTGCATACATTTTATAAAAGCTATTTCAAAGTACTGTAGCCATGTGTAACATGCATATGTCTTAGTGAATGACTACTCAGCATGCTGCTTGGTGCTCAATGGTAATAGTTTGATTTGTTTTTGACATCAAGTAAGATTTGATTTTTGTTTCTGAGATTCCAATGTTATTTGTGGCAAATATTTTCCAAAAATCCTCCATCTAAAGCTTCAACTGAATTCTAAAATGCCTGCATTTTCTACCAGAAACATTATCATTGATACCTCCTACAATATTTCATTTTGTCACCAGGTACCTGGACTGGTGAAAAGTGAAAACTGAAATTCGTTCATGTCACTATTATCCTACGACCTACCCCTAAATGGAATTGATCTTGTTTCACAAATGAGTTGTACATTGTACAATGTCTATCAGCTGATGTCTATTGTCTATCTCTCTTTCAGCACAGAAGATCCTCAGTCATAGTTAACAAAATGGAAAAAAAATTAGCTGTGTTTTAAAGATTCCAGTGGTGGCCATCAACTGCTCAGGAAAGCAGCCCAGAATCACTTCACAACAGGTATGTTGATGCATGTACATTGTACATTAACATCAATGTCTGAATGCTGAAGAATTGTTGAACAGGGAACACATTTACCTAGCCTCTAAAAACCACAAATCCTACATTACTTACATAAACATTTTTCTATAGAACTTATATTATCTACTTTCATCTGGCTAAGGCTTTTTTACATTATATTCCCTCTGTTAAACATGAAAATATGATGAGTTATAGACTAGTATAACAAGCTGGTAATTATATCTGCCTTGTCAGCTTGGCCAACATCTGCATCATGTCTATCACAAAATATGACTGCTTTCCTGACATTTGCATTTGTTCCACTCACCAATTGACCACTTCTACCATCTGCTTGCTCTGTGCACAGACATTGTCATAGGGTCTGTTCCAGTCGCACTTCCTAACACCTCTCAACTCCTTCAAGATTGCTTCCCTGTTCCAGTGGCAGCTTTCGCCCCTACAAAGCCAAGAAGGGCCCTGCTCCAACCTCCTCTATCTTGCTCTTTGAGGAGTTTAGATGTGTTAGGAAGTGCGACTGGAACAGACCCATAGCAAAACAGTTTCATCTCCCTGAGTCTGTACTGTCTTTTTCCAGGTTTCCAAAGGATCATCATTCATCAGCACAGAAGGGTGGGAAAGAGAAGACTGTTCAAATTCTGAAAAGCCAGAGCTGCAAAGGAGGTCAAAGATGCAGTGCAGTTGGCCCACTCAGTAGAGTTTCACTAGTGGTTCTGATGTGGACTGAAGATTACACGCTGGATTGAAGTGGCCGGTCTGGAGCAGCTGTAGTTCATCATTCTTGCTGATTGTGGACGAGTAAGAGCCCGCGTTGGCCCCGATCGGCGATCGCTGGCCAAAGCCATGGATTAGAGATAACTTTTATTATCTCTTATTCATGTATCATGTATTCATTATTCATGCATTCATGTATTCATGTAGGTATCTCTTATTCTTGCCAAAGCCCACCACCAGTTTGGTGATAGGCGTTGGCTGTGATATCTAGTGTCGCCTATGTGTGAAAAGGACAAGTTGATAACAAAACCTGTTGCGCCATGTTATTAACCCGCGCCCGGGTGGCCCTCAGCCAACTTGGTGGGGGGGGGGGGGGGGGTGTATTCGGCCACACCAGGTTATCTTGGAATGTAGCAAAGCTGGAAAGACGCAGTAAAATCAATCTATAGATCGCTATTTTTCTTCAGAATCATTCAGGTCATTTTTGATCAGGTCATCGCTGAGGTCACTGGAGGTCACCAAAAGTAAAATGATGACGAATTTTGGCCCCCGATTTTGACAACTTCACAAATTGGTTCATAATTCGGGAACCAAAGAAGCTACAGCGCCGCGGAAAAGCGAATTCGATAGCTCTTTCGAAAATCTTTCAGGTTCTCAGATTTGAGCTAAGGTCAACTAGGGTTAAGCCTCCAAAGGGCAAAAACTGAACAATCGGCTTGCTTCGGAAGTCGTCTTTTCTTTAAAAATTTTTTAAACTGATACCAACCTTTTATTACGTTGATTTTACCGGCACTGCGTTTCTCTCGTCTTCTTGGCCTAACAAGGTCAGCGTAATAAATTTGACCTTAGGTCAATGTCGCAGAAAATGCCATTTTGCATGTCATTGATTCGTTACATTGAAATTGAGATTAACATCAGTAGCGGCGGAACACCTTCAATTAAGGGGGCATTGCCGACTTTTGGGCTCATTCTTTCCATGCAACGCCCATAGGGCTAATGTTAAAATGCCAAATTCAAAGGGGGCACGGTGCCCCGGTGCCCTCGGCCTGTTCCGCCGCCTATGATTATGATGCTTTTAGCGCTCTGGCCACGTTCCATCTAAACTCGATGTACAAAAATAAACTGTTGGGAGGCGTTACATGACCTGAGATGACCTCAGGAGCATACGATAGATCCCGATGTTTGAGTGCTTTTGTTTCAAAAGCAGAACATTTCGAGTTCCTCATACTGACTGAAACTGGAGACGTCGCAAAGTTGACCTGACCCTAGGTCACCACCGATATCAAAATTAAAGATATTCAAGATGTTGGTACTGATTCTCTCATGCAATAGCTCGAGCTTCAAACTTCTACTTCATGGTGACCTGACCTGACCTTAGGTGACATGGGGTTGCTTTTTTCACAATTGATGCGAATCGATGCATTATACATAAGCTATACTAAGTTTCGTGTCGTTTTATCTATGCAAGCACAAAATTGTTAGGTATGGCCAAAAACGCCCCCACGGACCACCCACCTGGGGAACGTTAAAGCAGTGATGTATTTTTTCGGTGTATTCCACGATGCATCGATCGGTGTACTTGATAATGCATTATTTATTGCTGCGTGTGTACGCTTTTCCTCTGTTCAGTGTGATCTGTGATAGGAAAACTACCGATATATCTCCACCCGCATGACTGAAAGAGCTGGCGTGATCTATAATAATGGGTGTCTGTTTTTGTTTGGCATTTTATAAATAATGAGTCAGCTGTGATCGTTTGATGAGACACTGGGACAGCCGTCCTGTATGATCAGCGAACGGCAGGCGGCGGGGCAGTGGTCCGGTGGCTGCTGCATGGGACTGACACCAGCAGATTCAGAGCTGCGATACGCGGACGTTATGTTCACAATACCTTTGCAAAATAATATCTGATAGATATCATGTCCTCGAAGATGTTCTTCAATCAATATGATTTACCTCCTGGCTTATTCCATGGGGGCCGAAACCGATCGTTTTATGCACGCCTTTTCTGGGCCTCGTTCTCCTCTAAATGCGTGTAGGTAGCAATTTTATTCAAGGGACGATTGAAAGTGCCTCCGATTGGTTTTCAGCGTAGGTGGGATATGGCCGTTGAATGTGAGGCAGTCGACAAGGAACGTCGAGCTGGAACGGTCATTGGGTAGGTACTAGGTAAGGTATGTGAAAGGCAGCAGTGGAAAACAAGGAAGGGAGGCGTTTGGTGTGAGGTTTCAAATGCTCCATGCATAAGAAAAGTACATTTGATTATATGACACCGTCCTTTTTATCGCGATACGTGAGCAACGCATGAGACGCTCACTGTTCAGACTTGTAGCGTTAGAGACAGGCTGAGAAGGGCTATTTCCGCGAAAGGATATTCTGGAATTTGAATTGAAAGGCATTTAGTTTTGAAAGCATCAGTACTTCTTAACACGATACTGACTCATTTAAAATTTCAATTTTTCCCCATTGCGATAACATAAACAGAGACTGCGGTGTCCCCGTACGCAGAATTGTGGAGACTGTCAGGCGGATGTTAGTAGCTAAAAGCTTTTGTTCTTTATTTAACAGATAACAATCATTTCTTTTAATACTTTGTAACACCTAACTGACTAGAAACAATCTGTACGGGCTTCCAAAAATGTTATATTTAACATGTTAGATCATATACAATATTTTAGCTGCCCTAACCTGTAAATGTAACGGATGCGTCATTATTGAAATCGTGCTAAAGCATAGTATTCTATTGCTGACAAATATTCTGCGTCTGTCAGCCAAAACTGGCCAATCAGAGGCCTTAACCCGGTTTACATAGCATATTTGACGAGGCTCTAGCTCGTTAATTTGGCGATAATTTCGATACAGTGGTCTTCAAATATTTAGAGGGGATCATTTTGTAAATTGTTCAGCACCATTGGCATCTTTTGCAACATCACGGACGGAGATATAAGCTTGCAACAAACCCTATGTAAACGCGTCTCTTGTTTGTCATTTCTGGGTGGGATTAATAAACATGCCTGCTACTTTTGCCCCATTTTGGGTTTGAATGCTAATTTACGTTCAACGATTTTTCGTGGATGGATTGTCCATTAAAAAATGTCGAAAATGCGTCTTTTGACAGCCAAATTAGATAATAATCGAAATTAAAACAGGGAAAACTAAAATAGTTTTCAAAAATTTAGTGATAAATAACTTAAACCGGAAAAAGTATAAAAGAAGGACGCAAATATCGTACCCAAGAAGTAAAAAAGTCACATTCGTTTACTTTTTTAGTATAATCTTAAAATGATAGTAATAAAAAATCATTTATATTTTTGTTGAATTTGACCTAACATCACAAAAATTGATTTTATAAATATTGACGTCATCAAAATTTTTATTTTTATTCAGCAGATTTTGGAAGTCAATATGGCGCACATCCTTGCTATGCAGTTTCGTTTGCTTTCATTCAGAAGGTGGGCGAGGAAGGGAGTGGGACGGCGCATCTCGTCAGTCTCCTTGTTGGTGGATTGAAGAGGTCTGATCCTGTCTGATCGGTCACCGTGTTTTCAGGTAGGGGCATGACAAACAGTTATTTGCGTAAACTTCAGTTTCATTGCTCAATCGTTAAGTTTCTGCAACGGAGCTTGATCTGATTGCATGTCAATCTTTATCTTGGCTAATGCAATTATGATCAATAATTAGAATAGGAATGACAATTTGAATTGCTGTCATAGTTCTAGGCTGAGATGTTTGCATTTCTAATATATGTCCAAACATTAGGCATGTGTCCATGCAACTGATGTGGGTTGGCACTGCAGCAATTCAATCCAGGCGTATTGTCTATGCCACCCATCTGGATCTGAGCAAACCTAAACCGAGTTAAATTTGTAGCATTTTCATTGATAAGAACTTTGTAAAGGTATGTAAAAGGGTAAACAAGTTTATCAATAGGTAAGACATTATGATAATCTGCGCGCCCTAACTCTCCAACAACAACAACAACGACATTATGATAATGAAATCAACATTTATCATTTGTATTATGTGTCGTGCAGGTATTAGATTGGAAAATACATAGGTATCTCTTGAAACATTTGGAAGTTAACCTAATAATGATTGTATTGCCCTCTGGATTTTCAATCATTCATAACAGGGATGCGGAGCCGTGGAAATTTCAGACGACTCCGGCTCCGGCTCCGGCTCCGGAGAAAAAAATCGGCTCCGGCTCCGGCTCCGGCTCCGGGTGAAATGTCATGGCGGCTCCGGCTCCGGCTCCGGCTCCGAGTAAAATGATCCGGCTCCGGCGGCTCCGGCTCCGGCGGCTCCGGCTCCGGCCTCTACGCAGTACATCCCCTATGCGATCAATTAAATACGGGTGGAAGAAAAAAGGCGATGGGATTGGTACACGTTGCTTCTGTATTTGTATAACAAGGCTAGTTTGAATACCACATTGTTTTACGCCTTGTACTGTCAAACCGAACTAGGTAAATAATTGTTTCCTCTTAACCCGGCAGTTGCTGGGGTATTTCGCCACCCACCGTTTGCTGGGGGGGGGGGGGGGGCGTTAAACGCCCCCAGCCGATAACTCGAGAACCAATAGGCGCAGCGAAACGCACGAGGCGGCAAACGAAAGAACGCGACGAGACGCTTTAGATGAGTACTTTAAAGTTGAATTTTGAGGTCACAGGTCGGGTCAAGGTCAGGTCAAACACCTGAAATCGGGCTTTCAGTAGCATGGACTTCAGGACTTCGCAATGGGCGCCTCTCGTCATAAACTCTGTCAAAACGGTGCACAATCCATCATATAAGGCCTACAAGAGTGTCAGCTCCATGTAGGGGTCAGTCAAGCATAGGTCAGGGTCAAGGTCAGGTCAACCGGGTAGGCACATATCCCCGAAAATCAAAACTGATATTCGCAGCCCGTTACACATGTTTTATGGGTAATTCGGGGCGTAGAACACGATGGTGACATTCATTTTATCATATGTGTACGTGTTTGGCTCAAAAAGTTCAATTTAAGAAATGCATGTATCATGGTCGTCAAGTAGTTAGTCACTAGAAATTGCCAAGTTTCAGTTCAAGAATTTGGGAAATGCGGAACGATAATCAATAATCAAAATCAAAGATAGCCATTTGATTGTTCATGGTATTGGCAGTCTAATGGTGTTTACGGCATGTCTGTATGTCTATTCTGTGATTTTATATGATTTTTTGAACATATGCCGTTTTTGGTCGAAAACTCAGAAATCATGACGTCACTAAAACCTCGATATCTCAAAATTTTTCCGACCGATTTTTTTGAAACTTCGTCACAATAAACTTCAATCAATTCCCTACAGGTACCCAAAATTTGGCGCGCCTGCGACGCGCCGTTTTCATGCTATGGCCCGGCGAAAAAAAGTGGGGGCGTTTAACGCCCCCCCCCCCAGCAACTCGCGAGTTAAGAAAAGGAGCCGGAGTCGCCCCCTTTTTTGACGGCTCCGGCTCCGGCTCCGGCTCCGGGCTATATTGTTTCACGACTCCGGCTCCGGCTCCGGCTCCGGGCAAAATATGCCGGCTCCGGCGGCTCCGGCTCCGGCTCCGGCTCCGGCTCCGCATCCCTGATTCATAAGATTTTAAAACAATGAATTTTTTATTTGGAATACTGGTAAATGTCTGAACAAGTGAGGTCTTTTTCTACAGAGTTTCTTGAAGGTCTGTTACTATTTGTGCTGATATGCATGCAAGCTGCATGGTGTTATACCTATAAACTGAATCTCTGCTCACCAAAATCTTAAGGTGTCCATCTAAATCCTTGAAGAGCAAGTTCATTCTTATACATTTGTATTACATCACTGTTTTTGTTGATATATTTCCAAGGTTCTTACTTCTTGGATGTATTTTTCACAGAAAATCAGTTTAACTATATAGAGCATCTGGCACTCAGGTCAGGCCGCACACCAATACTTTATTTACAGTAACACAATATAGATAAAAATACAAATCTAATAATATAATATGCAAGCTGATTATGCATTGTTTTGTTGCAGAGCTTCTGGATGAATATCTCATGGTGAAGAAGTGGAACAAATGCAATTAATCATCAAGAGGCTCAGAAATATGGCCGAAGCAGCACCAGTAACTGGAGAGCCACTGGACGACCTGTTGTTGAAAATCCTTAGAGACATAGACCACAGTAAAGACTTTCATGGGTGTTTTGCACCTAAGAGTTGTGCACCACGAGAAGGGGTGCTCTGTAGTGTCATGGCAAAAGGGAAAGAGGTAAATACCTTTGAATGTTTTCTGGAGACATGCGACAATGTCACTTACAACAAAGTCATCAGTGATCTCATCGATCATATTTTGAAAACATGTTGCGAAATTCTGTGCCCGATTCCTGCGGGCACCGTCGATAGGATGAAACCAAGCCTGCAGTCCAGCTCTTTGGAACGGCTGAAGTGCACTCACCCGTTCTCCTGCCCGATCTGTGATTTCGTTCTGAGCGAGCCCGTGACCCTTCTCTGCGGCCACACGTACTGTAAAAAGTGCTTAGTGAAGTGGAAACCTAATGCCTGCAAAATCTGCAAAAAGCGACTGTATGGATACGAGTTTGTGAGTGCTAAGGTGAATGTGCTAGTGTACGGACTTGTCAAGAGATGGTGGCAGCCGGAACTGGACGCCGAAGCTTGCCGGCTCAAAGGAAACCAGAGCATGGGCGTTCAAGACTATGCAAAGGCCCTGAGCGCCTACACCGAGGCCCTGGAGCAAGGTCAGTCCCGGTGCTAGTTATTTGTGCATGTCAGCCTGCATGGGGTGATGGTCTTCTGTGAATCAGTATGCAAATGATTGCTATCAAACCTCATTGACCTTTTCCAGGTATACGTGTTGAGTTACGCGTTTGACAATATCATGCATTTTTCACCTCTTTCATATTGTTAATGATTAGTTTAACGAACTTGTTTAATTACAATTTACCAGGGATGCGGAGCCGGAGCCGGAGCCGGAGCCGCCGGAGCCGGCATATTTTGCCCGGAGCCGGAGCCGGAGCCGGAGCCGTGAAACAATGTAGCCCGGAGCCGGAGCCGGAGCCGGAGCCGTCAAAAAAGGGGGCGACTCCGGCTCCTTTTCTTTAGAGGAAACAATTATTTACCTAGTTCGGTTTGACAGTAGGGACCGTCGAGGTCCTGGTCAGTGTTCTCTACCTTCAGTGTTCGCATACACGGTTACACCTCGCCTCGCATTCAAAGCAATGCTGCCACCACCTTCAAGGCGTAAAACAATGTGGTATTCAAAATGTGGTATTCCACCCGTATTTAATTGATCGCATAGGGGATGTAGGGTAGGGTGAGGTAATTTGAACATGTGGGGCAATTTGAACATAGTGTGAATAACACAAAATTACGGAAAATCCATAAGTGGCATGACAATAAGACCAATGAGAGAAATTATCGTAACTAAAAGGGCTATCATATGAACGGGGTTTAAAGTTTCAGGGAATGAAGATGTTGACGCACAGTGTAAAAAATAATTTCGCAAGGATAAACGCCTAACAACACGTCATTGCAACTTCATTGTAGCGCAAAATCTTGCATTGCTAGTGCCTAATACGTAACAGCTTTTGTTGTACAATGACCTAATCAGTGTCTTCAATCCAAGAAATTTGCTTTTGAACCCTGTTTTTGAAAATGGCAAAATAACTTTTTGTGTGGGGTAATTTGAACATAGTGTGAGAATTTCAATGAAAACAGGGATAGCTCCGAAAAAAACAGCTCTCCCAGTTTTTTTTTTTTGCCAATATTTTCGACCCAAAGCAGTAGCAGATAAGTGATGCCAGTTTTCGAAAATTTACGTCTAATTTCCGTCTAATGCCCGGCATTTTCGTTGATTTTCCGTCCAAAAATGTTAAAGTCAACTATTTGTCCAAATATGTCCGAAAATTATGCAGCTATCAACACTCAAAACCGTCATTTATATTGCTTATCACGTAATTTTACCAGCCGAAAAGTGTTCATTACATTGAGAGCTTAACAAGCTTTCCATTCGCCAAGCAATGCTACGCACGATTACTTGATAAAAATGCTCAAGTGTGGCAGGCCATCGTCCAATGTTGTCCAGACTACTATACCTACCTTTGTGCAATCAATTCCGAATTGGACATAATAAAGAATCGGAACTCCGAATGTCCAGGTTCCGATTGGCACCACTATAACAGATGAAGTAAGGTTTGGTAGAGTTTTTATCGAACGGAGATGATAGACGTCCTGTTAATTGAAGAGAGGCGAATTCTTTCAACTGACCTGTGTGCAGCGTGCAGATATCGATACTCTGCAACTGTTATTTTTGTTGCTGTGTTGATTTTCAAATGAAGGTATGTTTAGAATTGCTCTACCTATTCGTTTATGGGTCAAACAATGCATCGGTGCTGGCGAGACTATCGTTTTTATGGCAGGTAAAGGCAGTATGTTCAAATTACCCCACGGTGGGGCAATTTGAACACACCGTGACTTGGTGGAGAAGTGATGCTATGCTATTCAAGGTATGCTCGGCTCGTCCAAAAATGAGGCTTGCATGGTAAAAGCAAGTGACACATGCGCTACTGAAACAGTTTTTCTTCATCCAGGGTTGAGCTGGAAGTTGGTACAAGGGAGAAGACGTAAAAATATGCTCAAATTACCCCACACTACCCTACTTGGTAGAAGCCGGAGCCGGAGCCGCCGGAGCCGGAGCCGCCGGAGCCGGATCATTTTACTCGGAGCCGGAGCCGGAGCCGGAGCCGCCATGACATTTCACCCGGAGCCGGAGCCGGAGCCGGAGCCGATTTTTTTCTCCGGAGCCGGAGCCGGAGTCGGAGCCGTCTGAAATTTCCACGGCTCCGCATCCCTGCAATTTACAAACACATTTCACTAACGAAGACGTTCGTATTGTTTATATCTTCTCCAGGATTGAGCTGAGTAGCTGATAAATCCAATCCACTGAACGATTTATTTGTTCTTCTTTTGCACACGATCCGAACTTTGTTTATGTAAGCTCATCTGTAGGTATGTGTTGTTTGATATCATATCTCTGATCATCTATTCCGTGCCTTATCGGGTCGAGCGCATATTTCCCGGTCCCGCCCTACCCAACCTGTGTTTGTACCATTCCGCCTTCTCTCTCTCTCTCTCTCTCTCTCTCTCTCTCTCTCTCTCTCTCTCTCTCTCTCTCTCTCTCTCTCTCTCTCTCTCTCTCTCTCTCTCTCTCTCTCTCTCTCTCTCTCTCTCTCTCTCTCTCTCTCTCTCTCTCTCTCTCTCTCTCTCTCTCTCTCTCTCTCTCTCTCCTCTCTCTCTCTCTCTCCCTCCCCTTCCTCTCCCTCTCTCCCCTCCCCCTCTCCCTCTCCCTCTCCTCTCCCCATCCTCTCCCCCTCCTCTCCCCCTCTCTCTCGCCGCCCGCCCTCACAGCTCCCCCTCTCTGTGGTCGCAATTGTTGGTTATATAAGCGGCCGTGGGCGGCGCGGCAACGACCTACCGCACCACCCGATATGCGGGGCGCTCTGCCTCCCCCGACGTGCGCCGATGGCCGTCTACCTCCCTCGACGTGCGCCGATGGCCGTCTAACCAGGTGCCGAGCCGCGTCCTCGCCATGCCCCGCGGCACTATGACCCTGTGTCAGTGCCCAGAACCTGTGACCGGCGCTGGGTCAGCGGGCGGTGCTGCGAGAGAGGCGGTGCTCAGCGAGCTCTGCTCGCTGTATTTTACTGCAAACCTGACCTACCTCCACAGTTTGCCGTCGGTGCACCGGTTTTGTTGGTTATATAACTCTCCTGTGTCGACTGGGATCAGTGCTGGTGAAGCCTACCTAGCGACTCGTCTAGGTATGTCGAAAAGACGACGATTTATGAGATTCGTGGTAGCCAATGGGTTATATAATCATTGGTGTCTAATTTTAGTGTCGTCCTCTTCCGAACTGACTCGTCCGTTGGCCACAACGATGCGCTGCGGGGCAGTCCAGAGGGCTTAGTTTTTATTTGTTTCATTTGCAACTATGCTACGTTATGTAACGGCTCGCTCCAGTGTTATATAAGTCGCCACTGCGAGACGGCTGTTGTTGAGAGGTCATTGGGTGCGTTTGGCTGGATAGGGGACGACGCATTTGGGCTCATGACCCCTAGATTAGTCGCGTTGGGTCCTAGATCTAGGCGAAGGCTGGATATTCTTTGGGTGCTGTAGGCGTCTGTAAAACATATTACGATGCTGGTCTGTGGAGGGACAATGGACAATATTGTGCCTGAATAAGTTTTTTTTTAATCGTTTCGCTGAAATCGGCACATCGTGGCCTTATGCATGAGACGATTATTATCGAGATCTGCCTTATGAACGTTGCCTCGACGAAATAACCGGCGTTATGTTTTGATATGGTGTCTGGACTGCAGCCACTGGCACCACACATCATTTGTATTGATCATTGATGACTCGGCGAGGCTATGAAATTCTGCGTCATGCACCTCCGGTTCGAACTCGTAAAGCTCTGGTATTTCTATCAAAGCTTCTGTCACATGCCGGTTTTTACGTCGGCTGAACACCGGTTAGATCCGGCGAAGAGCGGTTCTCACGACACACGTGCACGGCCCGTCGTTGGCTCGCAGCTGGGGCGTGGCCGCGCTCGCTGTATCGTGACTCTGCATTGTGCACCAGAGTAAATGGCTGCCGGGGCGGGCTCTGCTCGGCTCGATGGCCGCTCTCAGTCGCGCGCGTCGGTCGTCGTCCTCCAAGCGGCGTCACCGGCGCGGTAGATCCCCCAGAACCGGATCGCCGGCCGACGGGGGATCGATTCGAGTCCGGCGCTGTGCGCGCGGCACTGGCCGAGAGTGGGTCGCCGCCTCTGAGTCATGTAGAGTGGAGGTCTCTACGGGCGCCGCGCGGACCGCTGACTCTTCGGGCGGTATCTGACCTCGCCGGCCCCTCCACCGAGCCGGAAGTAACGAAACCACCGTGACTGTCTTTGTTGTCCGCCCAGCGCCTGGTCGTTAGGCGATGGTAGGTACTGTTCAGGCGAACAGGTGACGAGTCCCATTCATATTCGGTCACTGAAAGACACTGATCTGAAGGTGATCTAGAAATGCAGCTGCGCTGCTGGAAGGAAGTGATGAACGCCTGGAGAAGTTATGCTTGAAAAAAAAATTGTCTATGTATCAGCCATGAGCCAACAGACCCAGTCTCGTTTATTTTTGCTAATGACAAGGAAATGTATGATACATCTCGGGTTTTCTGAAATATTAACAGATGCAATGAGATAAGCGGTGAAACCTAAAACATATGCTACAGAGAGTACCATTTTGATAAGATTTCCGGTTTCGAAGAGCCACCCGGCGTCAGACGGTTGCCCGTTAGTCGTTTTACAGTTTTAATAAGCTTTCGGCGTTATTGATCGCAGTCGGCGTGTCCCATGAGTGTCAAGGTCAGCTTCCAAACAGATATGCCCGCCGTATGGTTCATATGCGCAGCCCCATGCGCCTAATCCGCTCTGCCCCGCCTGCGCAAGCGCCGACGGTTCTGGGCTCCTCTGGCGCGCACATGATGGTAACGGTCTATGGGAAACCGGATGGCCTCCCACCCAGACGGCAATGGCGCCCAGACGTCATGCGGTTGCGCAGTTGGAATGTCTGGCAATATGGTGTCTCCACGGCTTTGCCGGCTCTCTGGTGTCATAAGTTTTGATTGTGGTTAGGTACCTGTCCTTCGAATCGGTGTGCTGAGATGGATATTTAATCGCTGTTCATATTCATTCTAAGCC